GAATCATCGCTGTTTTGCTTTGTTTCGCTTTGCAGCATTATCTGCGTGCATGTGGGGCGGCGGTCGTGTGGAACAACGCGTATTAATCCCGGAAAACACGCAGCGCATTTTCGCCAAAGAGCGCTAGAAATATGTGGTATTGAGGGACGAGCGGTCAAAACAAAATTGCGGCCGCGATATTGAGATAAGAAATAAAAACGCTGTCAATTCATTCTGGTGGCGGTGCACTTCTATTTACAGCCGGATGGTCGGACGTAGGCGTGGTTCTGGGAACCGCCAGCAGAGTTGCCAGAAGCAGGCCCTTGATAAGTGCTGAACAAGCTGCAAGATGTGGAACTGCCCTGGTAGAATGATGCAGCAACGCAAGCTGCGTTTGCGGCACATTTTGAAATGCAATCGCCCAAGCTAGTGGCATCAACGTACCCAAGATAATCTCCGGAGGCCAGCCTGCCACAGTAGATTTGGAATTTCTTGGAGCTCGATGTCAAACAATAATTGTTGTTACTGGAGCACGTCGGGCTGCTTGATGCCGTGCCGGCACATGCTGGTGCAGGGCAGGCCGAGCAAGTTCCGGGAGAGAACGATGTCTGGCACCCAAACCCGCAAAAGTCGTTTGATGTGCCACAATATCCGTTCTTTGAGCTGAAAAGAACAGAAGTCAGTCACCCTGCTACTGGACCATGAGCAGCCGTGTTCCATGAACTCACCAACACGTTCCCGATGGACAAGTATATCCGTTTGAGCCACCGCAGCTGTTATCTGGGCTTGTTTTGCTGCCCGTTGACGCAGGTTTCGCAGCGGAAGTAGTGGCGCCACCACCACTTGACCCAGAACAGGTTCCGAAGGAGCTTTGGCAGCCAGCAGCACAATGGTCGCTTGACGAGCCGCAGTATCCCCACTGGCTGCAGCAGTCGCCAAAGCTGCTTCCTTGGCAGGTGAACCCCGCAGTCCCACCGCAAGTTCCATCCTGGCTTACTGATTTCCCACCGACGGTGATCGAGCTGCAACCTCCGAACTTGGACTGGCAGCCGTTGAGGCAGTGGTCGTCTGAGTTACCACAGTATCCCCACTGACTGCAGCAGTTGCCAAACGATCCTCCTGTGCAGGTGTACGCGTTGATGCCTCCGCATGTCCCATCTGGAGAAATCTTTGTCGAAGAAGACGATGTTGTCGTGCATCTGCCAAACTTGGACTGGCACCCGGCCCCACAATGGTCATCGCTGACTCCACTGTCGACGGCGTCAGTCGCTCTTCTGTGAAGGCTCGTCTAGCGCAGAGTATTTGCAATACCTACCACCAGTTGTATTGACTGCAACACAATGAACCGGGACATGTCAGCCCTTTGGTGCCTCCACAGGTGTTGTCAGTTGAGACGGCTGCTGCTGTAATTCCCACCAGAGAGAAGAGCGTGGTGATGATAGGGTTGACCATTTTCTCCTACGCACGATGTGTTTCGTTAACAGAAGGTATAAATAGATTAATTCTGAGATAAATAATGGTTCTTGAGTCTGGTCGATGAAGGAAGTGAGGATGGGACTCGATGTAACAGCAACTGGATTGTAGCGACTTATTAACGTAACTGGCTATTTCTGTGGTTGCTGCTTGCGAACAAAGGCATTCCGACGCGTCCATTGCATTGCGTCGACAGGTTTCTGGGGATATGTCATGATTGTCTATGATGCGCAGAAACTAAAATTCGCCAAGTCACGAACTTGTATTTAGCTGCAATGTCTCTTACGCAAGTGGCTAGTAGATAGCCTACAGCTTAGCGTTCGTTTTGGGTTTGAAATGCTAGCTTGATTGCTTGCAATTGTCTGATGTCTCGACGTATCTCCACGCTAGCCCTAGCTGGTGACTGGCACTGCGACCCGTGCTCATTGTGCGAAATCATCGCTGCTTCCGTCGACTTTGTTTTCTCCTCTGTGGTATGGGAAAATAGACATGCATGCCGTTGATGGCTGTGATTATCATTAATTACATCTGAGCTCCTTCATTCCCCTCTCGCGTTGGAGGACGCGATTGAGTCGCCACGGCCGGTTTGGTGGCGCAGATCCGTTTCTGTCTAGCGCAACTGTGTGTTGGTTGTACTTAATTGATCTAACCCCAAGACGTCGGTATCGACAGTACTGTACCTAATCTTGCGATGATGATGCACTAACGAAAAGCCATTTGTTCCTGTGGTATTCTAGATGTGCTGTAATTGAAGTTAGGTTGGAGTGCTCGATATGTGGGCCCAATGGGAAAGTATTGCAACAACAGTGAGGATGTGACTGATCTTTGTGCAATGAGTTAAGGGCGTTGTTGACCAGCGGCATGGCATTTACGAGCCCCTAACTACAGCACACTATATGCACCATGATGGCAACCTATTTGCTGGCAGGTATCCCCAGAAATGACGCCCGCAATGCCATCTTTGTGCGCTCCAACCTTTCATAGGACTGGGATCCAAGTTCAGGACGTTGTTCATCCGTGTTTCCCCAACTCTCCGCATATTGGTAGCTTTCCTTGAAATCCCTAGCAAACAGAGGCGCGTAACAATTCCTCATCAGGAACTCTGCACTCCCACCGGCAATGAGACGCTACATATTGATCCATCCTAATGTTGAGCTGGATTGCATATCAGGCCGAGTAAGCCCAGTCAAATGTTTGGTTGTGCTTTCCTGGCCCTCGCCTTGCCTGCGATCTCTGACGTGCCATGAGCCAACGTAACGATCTCAGTGTTACGGTCAGCTATCCGACAGTAGGGTCTGCTAACAGAAGCTGGGGATTAATACGTTCTAACAGTACACTAGGGTTGTGGTCTAGGTTGTAGGTCGTAGGCTGATAGTAGATCAGGTCTTCAGAGGCTAAGGTGATCAGTCTTAGACTTAATAAGTAATTCGCAGTGAAGGTAAGCTGAGAGTATCTGTGAGGATGAATACTAAGTTGATTGCTGAAGAGCTATAGAAGTCTGACCATAAGCTAGGCTCAGGGTCATACTATATATAAGTTCCAAATAGTGTTCTTTATCTATCCCAGAGTGATCACCTAAGTGCGTAAGGTGATTGCAATCAGTTAGCAAGACCAACTGATCATTGAGCGTTCCCTCCTATACTCTACTGATCGTTTTCTTATCTTATCGTCATATAACTTATACTATAGTTCTTCCGTTCTAAGTGAGTCCCTGTTATTCCTATGATCCTGCGGTACAAATATCCTGTTCTAGCCGCCTAATGCCTAAGTAGGTCGTTCAACTGTTATCCTTGTTTACAGGTCGTAACACTTAGCTTCCCCCGACCGATAGTATTTATACGAGACCAAGACTGGTCGGCCATTTTTCTGGATTGCAGATACAAACTGGGAACTCTTCTATAAACTGAATAAAACTGATGTTGACATCTATCTTTCGGACCGCGCTGCCAAAGGCTTCAACGTAATTCAGGCAGTTGTCTTATCTAAGTACAACGTCACCACTATACCGAATTTCTATGGACATCTTGCCATAAATAACGCAAATATCACTCAGCCTAACATATAGGCAACGACAGCTTCTACTTGAAGCCGTTGAATCCCTCACCAAAAATTAAGTGGGTCCATGCAGACAGGGAGTAGAAGCTGTTGTTTTCTAGCAGTATAGAAGCTGTTGAGCTTTCCAGTAGTAAAATACATGAAAGTCGGATGCAATTAAAGCTTGAATGAAGGCGATTCTAACCATCTAGTTCCCAGTGTGATAGTTAATAATATAAGTCTAGAAATCAGTGAATAGGGTAGTAGATGTTTTTGTGATGTGGTCCTAAACCCTATATTAAGTAGCTAATCATATAACAGGGAATTCAGCCAGGCCAGAGAGCCTAACCGACTGATAGAACGCAGGCAGGGTTGAAAGTAGATCAAGGAGAAAGTATGTGGAATTAAGGGGCAGGAAGGTGAGGTTATAAAAAGAGGACAGGAGGAATTATTTAATAGTAGCAGACCAAAGCAAGCTATCTGTATAGCTAAACATAGAGCTATTTATCCATAATATGCAGTATTCTATTCTGATATATATATTATATCAGTATACAGTAGTAGCAAACAAAGTTGCAGCATATCTGCAAAACCACTATCGGTTAATCACTGCTGAGGCTAGGGGAAAAGTGGCTAGATTGGTTGGCAACATCCTAAGCATCATCTGCAGCCAGGCCGATTTAGAGTCGTTCTAATACCCAGACCCCACGGTTAAGCTAGTTGCCTATATCGCACCACCCTAAACAGACGGTTTACGCTGCTACGCATACTGTTATGTTTGCCGCTGCGTGCGAAACATGCAGGAGCATTGTCAGGCAGAACATGGATAGGAGAATAATTAGCAGAAGGGGGGTGATGTTCGCAAGAAAGCCACCACAGTTAGGGATTTGCTGTGGATAACAGGGGTGCTATGCCAGCGGTTTTTCTTAACTTAGGCTGCAAGCAGATGGTTTGAGGTGGCCTGGGGACAGACAGCCCATAAGTCTCTGCAAGCTGCTCTAAACAGAAGCCTAGGCCGGCAGGCTATAGACTGCGTTTAAGATCTCCAGAAAGTCTAAGCAGAACGTGTGAAGACCAGCCACAACAAGCTAATCTGCGTCGCTAACGAAAGGTTAGAGCCCAGCCTATGGCTAGCCTGTGTGGGATGGGCGGTGCACTTAAAAGGGCTTAGTGCCAGCGCACTCTTCAACATAACAGCTCCTATCAATAAAGATGAGGTTATGCTTCAGGTGATATAGGCGACAGTTAAGCGTATGCTGGACCAGGCTTGAGCAACGTCTGCGCCTAACACCATCAGGCTGGCTGTGCTGTTTGAGGCGCAGCGTACAGAAGCGCACGTTAAGCTAAGGCGGCTGTTTGACAACCGCATAGAGGACGACATATAGGCGAGATATAAAGGTGTGTAGCTATATCTGCTGTATATCTGGTTCTGCATATAGGAAATAGATGACGATAAGCAGCCACTATATAAACTAACGCTGTTATAGGCAGAAGCGTGGGACTTATTTGAGCAGATGGAGGAAGCAGCCAGCATAGGTATGGAGGATCAAACGCAGGAGAAGCTGGAACGCGCAGCACTCAACATGCTTATCAGCATGCTGGACCACCAGCTGAAGGGTGGAGACTACAGCAGTGCTCTTCTCAGCGCTCTCGCGGTGATAGGTATTGCTGAGAATAGCAGCTGGGTTCAGATCACAGACTACACGATAAAGTACTCAGCCGTGGTTAAGGTAGCATGCATGCTGGTGATCCATCAGGTATATACTAAGCGTCGTGATGAGGTCGCTAAGCTGGAAACGTCTCTGGGGAAGGATGAAGCAGAGGATGCAGCGTGGAGTTTGTTCCAGTATATGCAGGCGAAGGTATAGCGGTTTATAACGTAGACGACAGGTAATAAGGATGTGGAGCTAACACTAATAAACTAGATTCTGAAGATGCAGACGTATAGAATATATATCTAATATAACATAGCAGCAGCTGGCGTTATAGACTAGTTAGGTGATTATATATTATATAGATAGGTATGGTTTATAATAGGGCAGCTGTCAGACGTACTGTATAAGCTGGTCTGGGAGACGCAGGAGATGCTTGCAGGGCTGATAGCGACAGAGGATTCAGCTTTGCCAGATAGTCCCAAAAGCGATATCTGGTTATAACTACCAGCCATCCTATAGTTATCAATTAAAGACGACTATAGCGAGATAAAGCCTAGGTACTTATTTCTCGCTGACGACCGCAACAGCTAGGTCTCCGCTAGGGATAGATAGCTGTTTATGCGGCTGGCGTGGTCACCTGCTGCTGCAGAATGGTGGGGACTTAGCAGCATAGGTAATAGTCGCAGGACGACAGACCAGCTATTCCAGCCGTCAGCTGTATAAGAGTTTGGGAGGACGTTCGAACGACTCTGCGAGCGACTGTGGATGCTTCTGCATATGCTTAGCGGGCAGCTGGCGCAGGCGAGCAAGCTTGCCGGTCTGCAGACGGTCAACACAGTCAACAGGGGCGTCTGCAACATACTAGTGCATAACAAGATGTTATGCTTTATTACAGCGTACTATAAAGGGTATAGGACGACCAGGCAGGCGAAAGGGATCCACTAGTATCTGCTGAGGGAGGTTGGCAAGCTTATGGTATAATATCTATGGCTTATCTTGCCGTTCTGGCAGGAGGTGCAGGGCATTATGAATAAGGCCAGCGCATATAGTGCGTTTATATAGGCGGATGATATCACCCAGCAGAGGGACTCAGAAGAAAGCAGCGCAGCAGCAGGATCAGAAGAGCAAAGTGATAATAATATAGATATTAGGGATAGCAATAATTATATTACAAATGCAGATGAGGCTGGTGATAAGAGCATAAGTGTGGGCGACTAGACGTGGAAGGATAAGCAAATATGGACGACAGACAGAGCGTAGCAGATTATATAGCAGACCAGCATAAGACTGCTGGGATGTTAAGTCAACGTGAGCATATAGCAGCATATCGCTATCAGCATTGCTAACTGCTACTTAAACAAGTCGTTCGGCCGGCTGGGCGGAGAAGAAGGCGGCTTAGGATTAGAGGAGGGAACAGATAAGGTTGAGGACAGCCTGTGGGACTTGCAGGCGGGACATAGCATCCAGCTGGTGGGTATGATCTACGCGCGAGAGCTTATGCAGTTTAGCAGCAGTCTCGCGGCGAGGCAGCAACAGTTCTGCAGGGTCAGCCGTTAGTGGCATAGGTTTCTAGGCTTCAGCGCTGAGGATTCAGAGTTGAAATAGGGTTCCACAGGCTGCAAGAGGAAGAAGATAGAGGCGTACGAAAGGCCACAGATAGAGGCGAGGCTCTAACGGTTTGAGAAACTGAGGAGGATCGACTTAGAGGGCCAGCTGCAGCAGATAATAGGGGACAACTCAGCAGGGTTCCAGGGAAACCAGAGAGAAGCAGTGCTCGCTATCGCTAGCAGGCATACGCCGATTGTGCAGGTGATAAGGATAGGCGGCGGCAAGAGCGTGTCGTTCATGCTGCTAGCATTCTGCTCGCTAGATAGAGTGATGGTGGTTATAACGCTGCTGGTGGCGCTCCAGATAGATCTGCATAGGTGATACGTCAAGGCGGGGATCACTTTGCATATATGGCAGAGCTGGAAGAACAACCAGGTGGCGTCTATCATCTTCGTTACACCTAAGTCGGCCGTTATAAAGGGGTTCAGAGACTTTATCGCACAGCTGGAAGGGAGGCAGGCGCTAGACTGCGTCGTTATAGATAAGTGCTATGTTATGCTCGAAGGATCACAGAGCTTCCAGCTGCAGCTCAGAGAGCTTGGAGAGGCGATCTGCAAGTTTGGCGTACAGATGATATGCTTGATGGTAACGCTCGCGCTGACGGATGAAGCAGCTTTCTTCCACGTAATGCGACTGGAGGCTTCTAGGGTTAGCATATTCTAAACGGCGACGACGCGCAAGAACATATAGTATTCTGTCGTCATAGCGAGCGAGAGGCCTAGTGTGGAGGGCGTCGGAGGCGTAGAATAAGATGAAGATGACGCAGAGCTGAAGGAACTTAACGCGGTTGAGGCTAAGGTATGCCAGGTAGCAGTACAGTAGGTGAATAAGCTTCTGGCCAGCAGCAGGCGAGGTAAGGCGGTAGTGTACGCTACGTCAATTAAGCAGGTGGAGCGTCTGGGGTCAGCGCTAGGGTGCGCTATATTCTTCAGCGATATCGACTTAACAGAGGGCAAGGCGGCGCAGCTTAAGGCGTGGCGTTAAAGCAACAGAGCGGAGGGCGTTATAGTGGCGACGAACACACTAGGACTAGGCATTAACATCCCAGACGTACAGCTTATGATCTACGCTAACATGCTAATAGGACTCCAGCAATTCGTGCAGGAGAGCAGGCGGGCGGGTTGCAACAGACAGCTGAGCGTATCAGTTGTTATATGCTGCAGCAGTAACAGCAGCAGCTTGCAATAGGAGGCAGCAGTGGAAGAGTATCTTGCTAGCGATAAATGCAGGCGGATTATTCTCAACTGAGTGATAGACGGCAGAAGTTACCGTTCTAGTTGCAAGGATAACAAAGAAGTCTGCGATATCTGCTGTAGGTATAGAAAAGGGCTGGAGTTAGGTTTTATTTAAGACTGCACTAGCAAGGACAGCAAAGCAGGCTGGGTGGAGTTTTCAGGGTTGGACAGATATATAAAGCTGGACTAATAGAGGGTTAGAGCGGAGAAGATAGGCGAGGCTGGCGAAATAGAAGCGTTTCTCGCGCAGCTTCACCAGCGACGCAGGAGGTGCGCGTTATATTTCAGGGCAAGGGACGACAACAGGCATAAGTTTCCCAGTTGCCTAACATACTGGCAACTTCAAACACCTACTAGGTGATAGTTGAAATCCTCACTAAATAGAAAAGTGGGGGGTGATATATATAGGGTAGGTGTTAGTTGAAGAGGTAGGAGGTAGGTGTTGGAAGAAGATCTCAGCAAATTCTGCAGTAAAAAGTGTGTATTTAACTGCAAAATATAATGTTAATTCAGGATATGAAGTGTGCTCAGTTTGGAGGTAAAACTACGACAGATTGATTTATAAGTGAATTTATTGCTGAAGCTACAGTTTTGATGTGGTGTTCGCTGCTCCACCCCCCCCGCGTTGATGCTATTAGACCGCACTGCTAATTCCACTATGGATAACTGGCCTGTGCGCTTAAGAGCATTCCACTTGGGCAGGAAGTTGATGGATAGCACTCACAAGTTACTATGGTTACCTAGAGTAGGTAGTAGAAAACATTTATAGAGCAAAAAGCATAAGTCAGTATATTAATAATAGGAATAGGGATAGATATCTTGATCTAAAGAGAATTATAATAACAGCGTTAAAGATAGATCTATTTATAGTTGCTAAGCTGTTTTGTCTGCTTATCTGCATAGTTTGTCAGTTTGCAGTAGTTGCTGACGAGTCGGCTGCACATCTGAGAACGCATCATTCGTCCATCAAACCCAAAGAAAGATATGCTATTATCTGCAAGATCAAGCAAGAGACGTCGGTTTATAAGACATAGTCTGAAGTTGCAGAGCTAAAGCACCCCAGCCCACATATAGCAGCAATCCTATATCTTATGGCGCCCTATAACAACAGTATATGATGCGACATATGCTTATATATATATATCTAGCTGCAGACTATATAGCAGCACTATTGAGAGAAATATAGGTGGGTGAATAAGTGGAAGAAGGGGGGAGACGTGAGCAAAAAAAGCCAGCAGCCCCAACAGCTGCTATGGACAACAGGCGTCTAATGCTAACGCTTCTTTCCCAGCTGAGTCGGCAGCCAGTGGTTTGAGGTGGCCTGGAGACAGACGGCTGATAAGTCTGCAGAAGCCGCTCTAAACAGAAGCCTAGCACGGCAGGCGATAGACTGCGTCTGAGATCTCCAGAAAGTCTAAGCAGAACGTGTAAAGACGAGCCACGACGAGCTGATCTGCGTTGCTAACGAAAGACTGGGGGCCAGCCTGTGGCTAGCCTGTGTAGGATGGGTGGTGCACTTAAAAGGGCTTAGTGCTAGCGCACTCTTCAACATAACAGCTCCTATTAATAAAGATGAGGTTATGCTTCAGGCGATATGGGCGACGGTCGACTGCATGCTGGACCAGGCTTAAGTAACGTCTACGCTTAATACTGTTAGGCTGGCCATGCTGTTTGAGGCGTAGCGTACAGAAGCGCACGTCAAGCCAAGGCGGCCGTTTAACAACTGCATAGAGGACGACATATGGGCGAGATATAAGGGCGTGTGGCTATATCTGCTGTATATCTGGTTCTACACATAGGAAATAGACGACAATAAGCAGCCACCATATAAACTGACGCTATCACAGGCAGAAGCGTGGGACTTATTCGAGCAGATAGCAGAAGTAGCCAGCATAGGGATGGGGCATCAGACGCAGGAGAAGCTGGAACGCACAGCACTCAACATGCTCATCAGCATGCTGGACCACCAGCTGAAGGGCGGAGACTACAGCAGTGCTCTTCTCAGCGCTCTCGCGGTGATAGGTATTGCTGAGAATAGCAGCTGGGTTCAGATCACAGACTACACGATAAAGTACTCAGCCGTGGTTAAGGTAGCATGCATGCTGGTGATCCATCAGGTATATACTAAGCGTCGTGATGAGGTCGCTAAGCTGGAAACGTCTCTGGGGAAGGATGAAGCAGAGGACGCAGCGTGGAGTTTATTCCAGCATATGCAGGCGAAGGTGCGGCGGTTTATGATGCAGACGACAGGCGACAAGGATGTAGAGCTGATATTAATAGACTGGATTCTTAAGATGCAGACGTATAGGATGCATATCTAATATAACACAGCAGCAGCTGGTGTTATCGACTGGGTTAGTGATCGTATGTTATACAGATAGGTATAGTTTATAATAGGGCAGCTGTTGGACGCACTATATAAGCTGGTCTGAGAGACGCAGGAGCTGCTTGCAGAGCTGACGGCAACAGAGGATTTAGGTTCAGCAGATAGTCTGGAAAGTAATGTCTGGTCACAGCTGCCAGCCATCCTATAGTTGTCGATCGAAGATGACCACAGCGAGACAAAGCCTAGGTACTTATTTCTCACTGACGACCGCAACAGCTAGGTTTCCGCTAGGGACAGCTGGCTGTTTATGCAGCTGGCGCAGTCGCCTGCTGCTGCGGAACAGTAGGGACTAAGCAGCATAGGCAACAGTCATAGGACGACAGACCAGCCGTTCCAGCCGTCAGCTGTGCAGGAGTTTGGTAGGACGTTTAAATAACTCCGCAAGCGACTGTAGATGCTTCTGCATATGCTTAGCGGACAGCTGGCGCAGGCGAGCAAGCTTATAGGTCTGCAGACGGTTAACACAGTTAACAGGGGCGTCTGCAATATCATAGTGCATAACAAAATGTTATGCTTCATCACAGCATACCACAAAGGATACCAGACGACTGGGCAGGCGAAGGTGGTCTACTGATATCTCCTAAGGGAGGTTAGCAAGCTTATTATATGGTTTCTCTGGCTTATATTACCGTTCTGGCAGGAGGTGCAGGGCATCATGCATAAGGCCAGCAGGTACAGCGCGTTCATATAGGCAGACGACATCATCTAGCAGAGGGACTTAGAAGAAAGCAGCGCAGCAGTAGGATTAGAAGAGCAAAGTGGTGACAACATAGATATCAGGGATAGCAATAATCATAGTGCAAATGCAGATGAGGCTGGGGATAAGAGCATAAGTGTGGGCGACTGGACGTGGAAAGAGGAGCAAACGTGGACGACAGACAGGGCGCAGCAGATTATACAGCAGACCAGCATGAGACTGCTGGGATGCTAGGTTAACGTGAGCATATAGCGGCATATCGCTATCAGCATTACTAACCGCTACTTAAATAAGTTGTTCGGCCGGCTGGGCGGAGATGACGCCAGCGTGGGATCAGAAGAGGGGATGGACGAGGTTGAGGACAGCCTGTGGGACTTACAGGTGGGGCACAGCATGTGGATAGCAGGCATGATCTACACGCAAGAGCTTATACAGTTTGGCAGCAGTCTTGCGGCGAGGCAGCAATAGTTCTGCTGAGTCAGCCGTCAGTAGCATAGGTTTCTAGGCTTTAGCGCTGAGGATTTAGAGTTGAAATAGGGTCCCACGGGCTGCAAGAGGAAAAAGACGGAGGCATACAAAGGGCCACAGCTTATAGCTAGGCTCCAACGGTTTGAGAAGCTGAGGAGAATCAACTTAGAGGGCCAGCTGCAGCAGATAACAGGTGACGACTCAGCGATATTCCGCAGGAACCAGAGAGAAGCAGTGCTCGCTATCGCCAGCAGGCACACGCTGATTGTGTAGGTGATAGGGACGGGCGGTAGCAAGAGCATCTCATTTATGCTGCTGGCGTTCTGCTCGCCAGACGGAGTAACAGTGGTTGTAATGCTGCTAGTGGCGCTACAGTTAGATCTGCACAGGCGATACGTTAAGGTGGGGATTATATCTCACGTGTGGCAGGGCTGGAAGAACAACCAGGCGGCATCCATCATCTTCGTCACGCCTGAGTTAGCTGTCACAAAGGGGTTCAGGGACTTCATCGCACAGCTGGAAGGGAGGCAGGCGCTGGACTGCGTCGTCGTGGACGAATGCCACGTCGTGCTTGAGGGGTCACAGAGCTTCCAGCTGCAGCTCAGAGAGCTTGGAGAGGTGATTCGCAAGTTCGGCGTACAGACGATATGCTTAACGGCAACGCTTACGCCGACGGACGAGGCAGCTTTCTTCTATGTGATGCGACTAGAGGCAAGCTGTGTGAGCATATTCTGAACAGCAATAACGCACAAGAACATATGATATTCTGTCGTCACAGCAAGCGAGAGGCCTAGTGTGAAGGGCTTTAGTGGCGCAGAATAAGATAAAGATGACGTAGAGCTGGAGAAACTTAACGTAGTTGAGGCTAAGGTATGCTAAGTAGCAGTCTAGTGGGTGAGCAAGCTTCTGGCTGGCGGCAGGCGAGGCAAGGCTGTTATGTACGCCATATCGATCGAGCGGGTGGAGCGTTTGGGGTTGGCGCTAGGGTGCGCTATATTCTTCAGCGATGTCGACTCAACAGAAGGCAAGGCGGCTCAGCTTAAGGCGTGGCGTCAAAGCAACAGGGCTGAGGGCGTCATGGTTGCAACGAACGCACTAGGACTAAGCATCAACATCCTGGACGTGCAGCTTATGATCTACGCCGATATGCTAATAGGACTCTAACAGTTAGGAGTCTAATCCCTAAACCAAATTTGGTTTGACAATTGGTTAGGATTGGTCGAAAAAATCTGCGCACGGTCCTGGTTTCTTATCAGAAAAGGTACAACACCAAAAAAATGGTTCGCCTATAGTAAAAACGGTCCTTGAGATACATTTCCTTCTCACAAGTGACCTTGTACGTAATCACACATTCATTTCTTAACTCGAATCACGCAATCCAGCACAGTAACCAGATTCCCACCTTAGAAACGGTTATAATACCCCTTCAGCCCAGGCATTAACAAGTCATTATGTACCTGCATAATAGCCCTAGATACATGTATCTATGTTCATGATACTTCCAATCGTATGAACTCCAGTACTCGACGTCCTGATGTCTGCGATGCACGCTTTTAGAGAGCTTCAGCTACATTATGACTACAAACTACATCTTCCATTGTTTTTTCTAGATTTTTTCCATCTATCTCATAATTGATATCGCACGAACTAGACCGACGCAGTAAGTCCAATATACTTACACAGAGATTGCCCACCTAAACTCCTCTACAGGTACTCATAGAACCTGTTAGCTACACCACAGTCCCATAATCCTTGTTCCCCTCACGTTCTCTAGGTATGTCTAACCAATAGTTGTGGTATTATTTGACCCACACTGAAACCCGCATAATCATTTTCGGTGTTGTGATCAAGTTACCGTTTTTATTGGCTAACCCACGTATGCGGTCTCCGTTCCGGATGTAAATCATCACACTAACCTAACCGTGGTCTCACCCTAGAAATCCGTGACTTTAAGCCTTGTATTGAATGGACTATCTCAAGTTCTACTGCCTTTATTTCTTCTATATAAAGTAGTACATTCCTCTGATGAAGATGTGATCCTAATTCCACATCAACCTTCACTTTTTTTATCAGTAATATCAAGCATCCCTTCCTAAATCCATACATCAACATCACCATGACAGGCACCTCAGAGGGGACGCTGAAGCGTGGCCGGGGTCGTCCGCGGAAGCATCCATTGAGGCCCGAAGATACGCCTCAGCCGAAGCGTGGACGTGGTCGGCCTCGAAAGCGTCCTCCGCTGGAGCAAACTGGTCATCATGTGAAGCTCCGACGCGGTCGGTCGCGGAAGCCTCAGGCTAGTCCTCCCACTGCGACCCCACCGTCTGGACAAAAACCACTTCCCAGAGCTTCACCAGACCCATCTTTCTCCCCCTCCCGTCACATTCGTCACCTATCCCTCGACTACATCTATCCAAAATATTCTTCTTTTTCCTCACCTGAACCCGAAACGCCTGTCGATAGTGCACGAAATGGCACCGGCACAGACTCCGGCCCTGGTTTATCGTTTTCGAAAGATATCTCCAAACCAGCCCCTGCAGGTCCCACGTCTCCTGCCGCCGGCGTAGGTCCCACTACTTCGCCATCTACTTTATCTCATCCCATCAACAAGATATCTTCGTCGACAATCCCTCACATTTACCCACCGTCCAGGGACAGCGAAGCTCTTCCTAGAGCAATGATGCAAATAAATGGTATGTGTAATGCATTCTTGCTATGTTTTTGTAACTCACATTAGAGTTCATATTAAAAATGGACTTGCTAACAGGTTAGGTAAAGCTCTTGACACTGCAGAATGCCCTTCCCTCCCTTTCCGAGAATGCGTCAAGGCCTCTCCTGAACTATTTTGCACCACTACCTCCTTTGCACAAGGCGATTGCCATTCACCTGGACCCGGGTCCTCGCAGTCGTCCGTCTCGTTCAAGTCACAGATTCCCATAACACCTGTACCTTACTCACCAGAGTTGTCATGTACGACCCCTACAGTAGGAGAAAGGGATTCGTGAGCATAGCAACCCTTCTATATGAAGTTGTAGTATAATATCGTTATTGTATAGACTTTGTCGATCATCAGAACCATCATGCTACAGTGATTGAAGACCCTCTTGAATGTAGCTTGCGATTGGTCGTGAGAAGAAGGACATAGGATATATCCAGATAGAGTTACTTCTTGTTTAATATGTAGATCTCGCCTAACAGTTATGCAACTACTATCTTAATACGTCACCTCATTAACAATCGAGTCAACCGAATATCATACAATGAATTTTCTACTGTTAACCTAGTGCCTAGGTCGAAAAGAACTTCGTTCTTACGATGAGGTAAGTTTACCTGTCCACAATATCAGGACACTAGAACGAGTTAGGGTGGCAGTAATATTCCACATCGCTAGCAACAATAGTGCCTGTCTGAAGGCCCTCTCTATCCGTCTATGTTATAATGTTCTATCGAAAAAGGTTAAGAATAGCGGTGTATTTAATCCGTTGGCTACGCAGTTAGTATGATAGTGTTACGACCCGTTAGGCATAACACGTTGGAACAACCCCGCCTGGGATCTCGGCGGCTAACGCGAGACATATGTAAGCAGTAACACAGGTGTAACCAGGAACCATCGGAAAGGGAAGAACTATGGTACAGGTCACGTGACCTCGGGAGTAACACGGATACAGGACAAGAATGGATATGTTGGATATGTCCACTATCCCAGCTATCCATGGGATATGTTGGATAGCACGGATATCCTACATAGCCACCACAGAAGATACTGTGTAGAACTTGTATATAGTATGACCCTGAGCCTGGCTCATGGTCAGACTTCCATAGCTCTTCAGCAATCAACTTTGTATTCATCCTCACGGATACTCTCAGCTTACCTTCACTGCGAATTACTTATTGAGTCTAAGACTGATCACCTTAGCCTTTGAAGACCTGATCTACTACAGCCTACGACCTACGACTCAGACCACAGCTCAGTGTACTGTTATAACGTGTCAATCCCCAGCTTGTTGCTTTTGAGAAACTCATAACGGCTCTGGGCCTTGAGTTGAGGCCTGCTGCGGGCCCACCACAGAGCAGGTTTTGGCTAATCACAGCACCAGCCTCGCGGTTTGTGCAGCTAAGTGGGCAGAAAGTCATGCATATAACAACTTATTCAACATGCGAAATCTCAGCGAATACCAATGCAGCACGGTTATCAATTACATCATTCGAACCCCTTTTTCGCGCTCTATACGTCTAAGCTTATCCAGAATTATATTAGCCGGCGTCGGAGCGAGAGATAAATGTCTTCAAAGGCAGACTCATCCCCACACACCTTTGCCCTGTTTGAACTGCCAGAAGACCCCCAAACTACCTTCGACCGCATATCTGCTACTCCTCACACAAGGCCTTCAACGCTCAGAAGTACCTCACATTCACCCACGAGTCCTTGCCTACGACAATGCTTCAGTGAGAAATCCGCGCATTCTATACCTCGCCGACGCTACTCCTTCTGACGTTATGGGGAACTTTCTCAGAGCCTCAAGAGGCGGCAAAGCAACCTGGCTAGGCTTCTTCAGTGGCCAATCTCGAACCCGAATCGGCGGGGGAGATAGATGAACAAAGGACCGGTAGCATTGCCTTGCTGCCCTGGTGGTCTCCGACAAAAAAAAGGGATAGCACCTAGTTGTCCACAACAATGGTGCTGAGGCTGGCGTTGCAGTGGGCAGTCGAGAGTCGGCAATAAATCTCTTAAGAGAATGATCGCCATGGAGAATCTTTTAGATACCTTTTATGCTGTATGTGCCTATCGTGGGCCCGCGGGCCCAGAAGGGGGACGGGGGGATTAGAGGGAGACAGTTTATCATCTTCATCACCACTCTGATACACGCTTCAATTGATCCTATAAGCGTTCCTCCTGAGCTAAATACGTGTGGAATGCGCGTCTCCTCTCGTTAATGTCTGTTCTCCTAGGTGGGCGTCTGTGGTTTTTGCCTTGCCACCTGTCGCGTGGGATGCAGATGTTCTCGGGTTCCGTGTCCTAGCCAGCACTATCGCCCATATGAGCTGATGAGCTCCCTTTGTTCCTGCAAGGTGTCCTTATTCAAGAGTCACAGGTTTGCATCGTCATCGTCATCCAGATTTACCTATCCCCTCCCGATCGTCGATATTATCCCTACCTTTAAAGCTCTGAATCGCCTCAGTCACCATAATATCGACGCTTACAACCTCACGATGCTAGACTCACACTGTCTGCCAAATTCTTATGCCGACTCCCTTCCTATCTTAATTTTGACAGCACTAATAACGTATGGCCTGCCGACCCTTAGCAACCCCCGGCCTCCTTTACCAGAGGAGACTACAGGCATTGTACGTAGTAAACAGATATATCCTAGCCTTATACTTCGCCAGTGTAGGAAGCAAGAGTATTTAAGCTCGCCGTTATCGTTGGCGTCGGTGATCGTCGCCACTTAGCTTTGTTAGGGGTAGCTGACGTCAACTACGTCTAAACATCCTTCCCCTAGCTGGCACGTCTGTATCAGTCTAAGGTAGTTCGTCGTGTTCTTTTAGGTAGCCATCTTACGCCCAGAGCTGCCTTCGTTAAGGCAGGCAAGACTATTACAACCAGTAATTACAGATGCTGCTTTTAAAGTCCTTTCCCCGCTGTTAACGATGTTTCCTCTCATGCGGCTTGAAATCAATCTACCTCTGATTTATGTACTATGTCGAACCTGGATACGGGCTGAGGGGAACCCAGGTGTTTGATTCGTACGGTGTAGACCCAGAACGAACAAAAGCTCATCGGTGTATCACTCGGCTCGGACACTGCGCACAGGGAAGGGTTACTCAGACCTAGCGATCATCCTCTCAGCGAGCGGTTCCTAGTCACATAAGTCCTATTCGCTATGAACATTCGGTGGAGGGCTTTTCTATTATACAAAGTAACTGAGCTCTTGGGATGCCTCCGTGGGTTCGTGCTAACCGTGAAGCACTCCTGTCCCTATACAGTCGTGGTAGCGCATGTCCATCTGTCGCAAAAGAAACCCAAACAAAGGAGAGGAAGAGGACGAAAAAGAGAAGAAGGGGGAAAAAAAAAAAGACGAAACGGCCGAGATTATGCTTGAGCGAGGGCCTCTCAGATCTTAGACACTAGGAAGTCGAAGTACCTCAGGCAGTTGTGGTTTGCGTCTATCTTTTTCCCGGCAGCTGCCACCCACTCTTTACCTAAAACACACCACGTAATTAAGCATCTGTCGCGCGAGGAGACACTAGGGAGGACTAACCATAATTCCACAAGTCTTTAATGTTAACTGAAGCCTTCTGCCCCTTGTAGGTTATACTAGAGATGTTTGCGTTAGCATAAGACCAATCATGCGTCGGGCAAGGACTAACCGTTGATCTATAACAGGGCCGTCCCATTTGTGGCGGGTCTGGCTCCATTCGCCCGGTTTGCTATCCAGAACTCTCACGTGGAAATATTCGGCCTCGAACTTCTTCTGGAATCTAGCCGTTTTCCCAATCACTAAGCCGACATGGACGCAGTCGGTCCGGTCCACCACGTACTTCAGGTAAGGCTCCCGTGTTTGGCGATGATTACGATACGCCGGGTTACAGGACATGAAGTAGTAATACTTGTTGTTCTGAAGCGGGCGTCCCACAACCTTCTCGGCCTCTCGCCAGGCCTTACTCTGGTCTCGTGAGAATATCCCACTTGCACTGAAATGATCCTCGTGCGTCGCAGCTGTGCTGTCGTCTTGAGGCACCGAGATGTCAGTTCCGTTCAGTACGTTCGAGATGGCCAGACCGTAGACCGTGGCGCAAAACGCCAGAACGCTCGTGAGCCTCATCGTGCCGAGGGAGTGGCTTAATCGGAGAATCAAAGAGTCAAAGGCTTCTACTGCAACCGTGCTAGAAAAAAATCAAGTTCAACTAAGGAGGGCGAGAAGGACAGATGATGTAGACATCTTGACAGGAGATTCTAACTAGACGAGGGACTGATAGTCCTATTTATAAAGCCCAGCTGATCTTATATGAGGCTGTTCTTAAACCACTATCTGCACACCTAAGCCAACAGCCAGAGGTTACGTGGCGTTTCCCCTTAACCCTGGTACTAGAGGGAGGGTCCAGGTGTGGACGTTATACATAGCGTTGTTGTGATCTCTCCGATTCTGTCCAAACCATCAACCCCTTCATTCACAGCCTTTCCCTGTGTGTGGGACTAGCGCCAAGCTACCCTGCCCTTGTCAGCCCTGTAGTCAACGCACAAGCCCCCACTATTCTACATATAGGACCATTTCACTGTGGAGGTGGATCCTAGGTGTAGCCGCTCATCTCCGTGACTTCGTCCAGCGTCTTAGGAAATTTTACCTCCAAGGTTTGAGATAATTAGACGTGGAACGACGCTCGCAATCAGTGTAGGAGTTTGCCTTTACACAGCAAACGTCCCCAGCTACGTAAGGATTGCACACCCCCCCTTCACCTCCTTGAACGGCCTCTCCGGGCTATTCTTGTTCTCTTGACTAGCACCGTCCAGCAGAAAATGATCCATAGATGCCAATTCCAATGCGGGCAGAGATAAGCATGGACCGTAAATGAGAACCTGGCATAAAGCCAGCATGTTGTATTCTCCCGAGGAACAAAAGAAGAGGACAAAGAAAAAACACCTTCACAAACCTCTTATTCCCTAGATTGCACCTAGCAAGCATGCCCTCAGCCCAGAATACATGAACCATAACCAGACGGTGTTTCCTTGCATGCCACCTAAAACTTTCACTTGTTTAACCGTTATTCGGCCCTACTACGACTGTTAAAACCACCAACCCTCTTGATTATAGAAAGACGGATAGATATGTCTTATCCCCAGCCTAACATCCCATCGGTACTACCGCGGTACGAACGAGGCGGGATACCACCAGGTTTGCAGCTTACGGGGTCCCCGACAGCTCAGCGATTGAGGCCCGATATCAGCCCCTCCTTGCGGTGGACGAAGCAGCGGCTACCGCGATTCAAGTAAATCAGTCAAGTTCAACAAGCCAACCAACCAATCAACCTACCAACCAATCACAAAGCCATCCCCAGTCAATGAGTTCAATTATAGGGCCCCAAACTTGATTGATCGAATTGAGGTGGGCGCTGGGAGGAAGAACGAAACCCCTATCACCTTACTACTAACAAATGAAAGGATATACAAACCAGTGACCCAGAATCACTCAGGCGCAATCCTGTCATTACTATCACTAATCCAAGCTTACCTTGTCATAACAACAACAAAAACAATACCAATGAGGTTATTGCATCCTCTCAACCGTTGCGAGGGCTATAGCCTCGTGCTCCTCGAGCCTAATAATGTCGTGTCTGTCCGCAAACCAGGTGACGTGGTAACATCTAGGGCCGACGTATACGCCGAAGCCGGAATACTGTCCGGTCCAGCAGCTCGAGCGTAGCTTGGATAGAGGTTGAAAAGGTGTCGTCGGAACCCTCCGACATGATACATATAACATGCGTTTAGATGGGACTGCCATGGCTCCTATAGCAGATAACACAGAGCTTTATACGTTCCTGGCCTTGTCTTTCTCTGTCTCCAAGCCTCTTATATTGGTATCTCATAGTGACTAACTATCCCTAAGCGGAAGCTTGTTATTGAGTCAAACATATCAGGGCGAAAGAAAGGGAAAAGAAGAGAATCAAACCCAAATCTTCTACTAGAACATGCTGGATCAACACACCTCTTACCCTGGCTAATGATAGTATTGACATGCTGCATCTTGTGAAGCAAAATCATGCCTACGAATGAGGAGTACTTCCCCTTTCGGCAGTTGGAAAGCATCTCTGAAGTGCTGGGCTTTTTGAAGAAAGAATGGCAGTCGATGAGGGTGTTAATTCCGAAGAATTGGTCGCTAGTATGAACAGTGCTAGCGACCACCTCGCCCCTGCAGGAAACAGCGCCCGCGGGAGGAAATCCGTACACTAGTCTCTGCAGGCTCAGGCTATCCTCTTCATAAGACTTCACAGTGCCTGAGGGTGCTTGGAGGCATCTTTCCATTACCTCGAAGCTGCTAGTATTTACTACGAAGAGCTGGATTCTGTTAGCGTTAGCATCTGGTCTCGCTGTGGTAAGCGCCCTATTTCTTCTTGAAAATAAGTTAAGTATAAGGCAATAATACTAAGGGGAGCAGTAGACATAATGAGAGAGACTATCCATAGCTAAACCACCTCGTATACTCATTCGATGCGGTACTAGAGTTATCCAAGGCCACTATGGCTTCACGTGCTAAGTCCTTAGTGTACTTGACTACTCTCTTCATCTCTTTAACTTATGAGAGAGAGCATAGACAGACACTTGCTTTAATCATAGACACCCAAGATATTAATACTGACCTATCATGAGAACCAAGCCGGCCACGTACAGAGGAAGGTAAAGGGGGCAAAAGCATATGAGAGGTTCAATATTAAAACGAAGAACAAGTAAATTATGCACATATTAACCAACCCCACGTAGTTGTAACGACTCTTCCGTTTTTCTTTTCTTTTCTTTTCTTTCTGTTGAGAGAATGGTGAGGGCTTGGTCAATTGGTTGCCTGGTTGGCTGGTGGCTCGGTTGGTTGGTTGCTTGGTTAGTAAGGTAGATTAGGAAACCGCGAAAGCAAATCAGCCAGGGGAGTGGAGTGGGAAAGAAGAAAGAAAGAACCATTATGCATACAGCCTTTGATGCGATCAATAACTATTACAATCTCATGATATACACGCTACGCTCTCATGGAAGCAGTACGTCACTGCATTAGCAAGACCAACAAACTGGCTGGAGACTTGCAGCGCTGCTGATACCGAGCTAAACGTCTTAGCTTCAGAAGTCTCTATGATTCCGCTCAACAGGCTGGGCATCCAGAGAATTATGTATAAGATAGGACAGGATTTCAGCAGTATCATGCGCTTAATGCGCCGCTCTGACGTCTGGGTCTGCTTTTTGGTAGAAAGATTAGCCATCATTGCAGCCGTGACGTTTGACGATACACCGTCTTTTGCGACGGTGGTGTCTCTGCTGGGGTTCCATCTGTACTCCAGGAGGCGGGAAGCTCCCCACGGTCGAGGAATACATGACTGGCTTGCAGTCCCACCTCCGCTGTTATATTCCGCAGTATCTTCTCCGTTGGTGAAATCTGAGCAGTCCCTGACTCTCTGAAGAAGCGTTGCTGTAAGTGCCTGTGTAGTTTGTAGAGGACGTCGTTCACCTAATGCCCTAACGTGTGTTTGTTGCTCCCTGGTGCCTAATCGACCAATGCCCGCCCCCCTCGGTCCGAATACCTGGCTCGTATCCGGACTGGTTTCGTTCTGCCGCGACGTCTCCGAGCGTACCGTCGTGTGTGGCTTCTTTTCCTTGTGGACTCTGGCCGCGGAAGGAGCACGCGGAGCCAACGGCCCAGCTTGCTGCCCACTTTGATCATCAGCAGCACTGCCGCATCTGCTATCCGATTCTCCTAAATACCTAGTTAGAGCGTACTCTGAGGCGCGGGAAAGGGAACACTTCGTACGTTTTGCCCGGCTGTCTTGCAAGCACCTCATAGGCGTACCCCACATAAGCCTGGTTGGTGTGCAGTTTCTTCCTCGTGGCTCGAGTATGGCCATTGTCGTCGGGCGTACTGTTAGTGATCTGGTATCGCACGAAAGCCAGGACGTACTAGCGGCGGGGCGAGGACGTTGGCTGAGATAACACCAGACGAAAGTGTAGATGCAAACGGTAGTGGATATGATCCACAGACGCCAGACATAGGTGAGGCCAAGTCGAAGGTTGGGCCGGTCCCGCGCAATCCAGCAGCAGTTCCCGCCAACTGGCTCTATCACACCGATCCTAGCAGCCAAGGCACTAGTAGTAATCGGAATAAGCCATACGCAGCAGCAGATTGAGAATCTCTTAAGTGATGAGCTGTCCGCCATACTTGTTCTCTGCCATATCACCAGAAGCGTGGCTATAGCGATGGCGAGGATGGAGAAGTCGGATGCTTGCGTTGAGAGCTGACTAAACACGCCGTTCGAGACGCACGCTATTCCGCGTTGTAATTCCTGGTCCCTAACGTAGATGATCCCCGATATAGTGTTACTAGCTGAGTTAATGACTTCTTTGCGTTGATGGTCGTCTTGGTTAGTGTCTCATCCCGCTTAATATTGACGTTGATAGGAGAACACCTTACCAGCAACCATGAGGTTAAGGACGAGGGTGTGTCGTAGAGACCGGCGTCGAGTATGGTGAAGACCAATCAAGATTAAAGCGCTCGAGGTTGCTAGGAACGAAAGACTACTCCCTACGAGGGCTAAGGACGCCACCAGTGAGTTGAAAGCCATTGTCAGCTGACGGGCCATACAGCTTCACCCCAGCACTAGCCAAGCTGCGCACGCATGATCTCCTCTCTCTCTCTCTTCCCTTTTTTTTTTCCCTTTAGCCTGTGCGGGGACTCTCCCCGCTTTATCCTTTTCTTTCCCCTCCTTTTCCACACGACGTACGGATAGCAGCATCAAAGCTCAGGCGAGTCAAAGGCTATTAGTGAGATAATTAGGGTTGTGCGTGCATTTGAGAAGGTTACCGGTGTGAATTCGAAACCCCCCCCACCCCCCAACCAAGCAGTGATGACGCCTATACCGTAAACCTCCCGAGCCGATGCATGCTATTCCCTAACGCTTCAGCCTATGATGTCTCACTTGCCGACTATATCTCCACCTTCGACTCCCTCAAGCTTGACAGCCTAGGAGCCATATGTTCCATGATCTAAGTCTCGAACGAATACTACCACGGTACGATCGGGCTGTCCCCTCGGGAATATCGCTAGAAAAACATCGGGTATTCCATGCTAGCACGGAGCACGTCGGCGAGCCTCCCCAAGCTTTCCATCTCCCATCTGAGCAGCGCGGGTGGTGATATGGTGACACACCGAAGCCGCATAGCCACAGGATCAGGCTGAAGGAGATCTCCCAGCGAGGGCGCACAAGCCTCGAAGGAAGTGCGAAAGGCGTGTATGTTGGCCTACGACGGTGTGTGCTCGGCGTCGATGATATCCTCCCTGCGGAGAATCCTGAGGTTCGGGCACGCACGGGCGGGGCAGCCGGCTCACGCTTACCTCGCAGAGGTCAACCTTGCTCAGGACCAATTATTCTAGCGTAGTTGCCGACGGGGGCCGTCCGTCATAAGATACAAAGCACGGCGCCTACGCTGATGTGGAAGTCGAACCTGGCGGTGGTGCCTGCGGCCGGATAATGGCACGACAATCCGGCTAGCCGCCTCACGGTTTATAAGCCTGGCACTATTGGCCGAAAGTATCATCCGACGTAGGAGCAAGACTGTAAGGTCTCCGAGTGCTAGTGTCGTAGCCGGTCTATCACCCTGCTAATGCCCGGCCCGGTCGAAGGTCCGTATCTCAAGCGTCTCCAGAGCAGGAAGGCGCGACAATAGGACGGCAAAGGCGCCGGCGATGCCTCTTACATGCAGCTCGCCGACCGGCTGCCCGGAGACCCTGGTGTCCTCATGTGCCGGTGCCAGCTGCTTGCTGCCTCGCCTACGTGGCATCCGGCCGGGGGGGTGTTCCATACTCCGCTGCCGAGTGACGCAGCAAGGTCTCCGACCTTCATGCACTCCAGCGCTCACACACAGTACACACCAACGCGACGTACTATGTCGAGATGGTCAGGGCCACTCGGTAATTTGTAATGTGCGATGTGTCCCTAACGACGGCTGAAGGTGCTAGGGGCTGTGATAGGGACGGTCCAGCGCTTGTAAGCCATATGTTGAACTGGTCTCTGTCCCGTGAGACAGACTCTGGAAGGCTGGGCAAGTTGCTGACCCTTTCTCAATCAAGCCCGAGGTCTGCTAGGGCAGGACGGTGTCTATGATATTTCGTCGTTCCTATTCGTCTACCATAGGCATGCCGAGTTACTATATGTGACGTGGGGATTGAAATAAGGAAAGGAACCCATGGGTAGGATGAACGGGGTTAGAAATCAGATATCCCACAACGTAAGACGAGAGAGGCGGCCAGACGCAGCATGTCATGAAATCCCAATGCCGTAAAGCTTTTCTCCTAATACACTTGCGGTTTCTTGTTAGTCCCTCAGGTCGGTTTAGCCTATTCTGCGATCGGGAATGTGGAGCGGACGGGACCAGTCCCACTTTACAGCACCACGCAAGCATGGACTGAGAAAAGGGAAAATCCGCCCCTCTCCGTCTCTGAGGGTCAGCCCAAGGCCTCGCTAGGTCATCCACTGGTGCCAAACCAGCGTGGAGAGCTAGTATGAAGATGTTGGGAGCGGCATCAATCTCCCCCACTTTCTCCCTCTCTTTCCCTCTCCGTCTTCCGGTACTATATAGGGTAGAACTAGGTTGGGGGATCCCATACTGGTCTGACAAGACAGGCGTTGTAGACCTACGTTATAGATGAGAGAGACGCCCACGTTGATTAAGTGAGGCCCTCGAGTGTTATATTAGCAACTTATCACACAAGCCGCTCTATCTATAACATAACATTAGGCTTGGGAACGATACTTGGCGAGATAGGTATGAGACCGCAAAGCTAGGAGGCTACATCACTGGATGCGGTTCCAGCGCCTGTCCTTGGTTTCTTTAAGTGACAGACAGTGAACGTGAGATTCCAATGTGGATGTGGTTCAATCCTTCGCTGTCTTGCATGGTTCACAATGCTACAAATCCCAAACGTCCTGACACAGAACCGGGGGCTAGGCAGGATCTAATATATGATTCGCTAGCGTACATATATACCAACACCCCGATATAGAGAAGTAGAGAAGAGTTCAAAAAAGCGCCTACTCTATGTCTCTTGCTGTACCTGGGTTCTATAGCTATACCTGCGTACTAGGAGCTACATCTAGTGAATAGTAAGTAGACATAGTTCAGTAGTGAACTGCGTGGACCCCTAGCGAGGACTTTCATCTCGGCATACAACATGTTGCTCAGCAATCGCGCACCCTCCGTAGCTAGATTCACTTGAAACATTGCTTTAATCATACTCCATGGTACGTACTGCGTAAGTGTAAAGGTATTTAGGGGCTACGGGCCACGGTTAGGTCAAACTGATAGAAGCAGAACCTAAAAGGTATGTATGGTATTGCTGCGCTATTTTTGCTTGCTTCTTCGAGGATTCGCTTTTTCCAGCCTTCAACGAGTACTCGCCAAGTCCTCTCTGTGGATGGTTCTGTGCCCTGACCCGCAGGCCTCTCCGGCCCTCCGGCCTCCGTTGGCCGAGCTGCTCCCGGGCTTCTCCGTTCCGTCTACCCAATCCCTTATAGTAAGCATGGAAACATCGCCCAAGTGATGTGTAGCTATGTTGTTAAGGCATTATCGACAAGCATCCAAGCTCAATTACCACATCAAGCATATCCACATGGTGTGTGTTGGGGGGGGGGGGGAGGGTTTCAGAGAGAAAAGAGAGAAAGAAATGGGTCTTTGTATAGAATGCACGCCAAGCTTCTGCCTACTTATAGAGTGACTCTTGAGGTAACAAGATAGTGACGTCACATGCCACCCCAAGGGTCCGACTTGCGATCCTCGACATGTCCCTCATGATTTCTGTGGACGCAACATACATCCCAGCAATACTCACGTGACGTCGGCTATCACCGAAAGGATCGTTGTGCGCGTCGGCGTTGGCGTCAGGGTGTGTGATCTGTCGCCGGGTCTATTTCAGCGAAGGTGATTTGCTGTTGCGGCGGCGGTGAGCCGAATATACCTGTGGCTTCTTTGGGCCTAAGCTAGCCAGTCTGAACTTTGAAGTCCCTCTCCCACATGGGGCATTCTGAGGTCTACTAGGTGAATGCGTCAACGTTTTCTGTGTTGGAATACCTGTATACCCTGCGCATATGATCGTGCTTTGCGGACACCCCGTCCGTCCGTTGGGCGTAGAAGCCGGGGTCTACCGCCCTGTATCGTGCATTCCGAAGGATAATGAACACCTACAAGCATCACTGAGTGTCATCTAGTTCATAGGGTCTGGTTGTGAGTTATAGTTATCTGGTCGACCTAAATTCTCGCGGGCGAGATAAGTCAGGCGAAGTGCATATGAAAGCAATGCCGAGTCCGATCCATCAACCCGGGCAGACGGGCTGTAGCAGAGACCGCAGTCCATACCCGTCTTTCAAGTAGAGAGCGACGCGCGAGGCGACGGTAGCCGTCGACTCAACTGCTACTTACACTGAGCTCGACTTGTCGCAAGCTCCATGCAGCGTATGTATCTCATCCGTCTTTCTGTTCGCTTTGCGCGGCCCCTAGTCACTTGACAGTTGAGGTGTTCCTTAGAAGCCAAACAGACCGCCAACGAGCAAGACCCCTGCTTGACTACCTAGTGTAGCGGCGTTTTAGTATTGACCCTACCAAGCAGGTCAGGCAACCCTAGCCCTACGACCAACCGGCGTTAATCTTGCGGAACGCCTGGCAGCCCTGGACTTCCTGCTCATTGTAGAGTTATCCGAACGGATGAAAACTGGTGTTCGTGCGGCCACGCCACAACTTTGTGCGTAGGCTAGCCACGGTACCAGGCCCATACTAGGTGCCCCACACGGGCGGCCGATACCACCCACGGCGCGCCCGTTGCACGCCGACCGAAGAAGAATGTCTTTAAACCGGGCGCAAAATTCGAAGAAAAGTCGCATAAATACGCGGATTAATTCAGAGTGGTTTTGGCTAAGAAGATATACGTTTTCGGGCTGGTGGGGGTTAGTTGAAGATTAGGCTTCGGGGTAAGTTATGGTTAATGGTCAGAGGCTCGGGGATGTGATCATTTGGGCTCTGAGAAGGTACGTTCGCTGAGGTTGTTTTGAGGGATGAGGTCGGAGGAGGGGAACCGTACGACGTTTGCTTAGCCGCCTCGCCTTCATACATACATATGTGTAAGCATATATAAATACATATATTTATATATATTCATATAAGTATATGTAACCATATATCCGACGTCAATACGCCAAGCCTTGTCCGACCTTCTACTCTACAGCAGCTTTCGTTGTGTGGTGATCGTATTAAGGTACGTACAGTGGTCAGATCAGGGCGCCCGCAGCGGCAAGGTCCGAACTGTTGTCAACGACGGCCTCACGATCGACAAGGATCGTATAGGCCGAGAAAGTCAACAGACGCCCGTCTGAAACATTTGTGGGGCAGTGTGCCGGGTACGAATCCCCAGGCGGCCCTGTCCAAGCTCGGGCAATCCTTGCCCAGGTTGCAATGCGACTAGCCCGCCGAGAGGCTAACCTGTGCATGGATATCCCGTTCGCTCCGGGCTGTAGGTCCGGCTCGGACGCTTGGGGCGTTGACAGCTAGATGATACGGACACGACCTTGAGTATCCAGGACGGATCGAACGGACAGGGTTGCCGGGGATCCGTACGGCTACGCCGCGGCCGCGGCCTGTGTGCGGGCAGCTACGGCACCAGCCCCCGACTCTCAATGCCAACACTCACTACCCGTGCCTATACTCTATGCACGCCGACCCGAAGAACAATGGATTCCAGGGTGTCGGGCGCCAGAGGCCCAGAAAAAATTGCATCCATGCGCGGGGCCATTCAGAGGGCTCCCGGGTGGGCAAAGATAGGTCCTTCGGGTAGTGAGGGCTGGTCTACGGATAAAGTTAATGGGTCGCATCAGGTTTGACGGCAGGCGTGATGGCCAGCAGGATAGAGGAATGGGACTTGGTGCTGCCAAGGACCCCTTGGTATCTCGCTCGCGCCGCAGGTTTCCTGCATCGTCGAACCATCTCAGTCTTTCGGGTAAATGCTCGCTGGACGCCGCCACGAGCTCATCTCTTGTATGGGGTCGCAGGTTCAGTTAGCCGCAGGTAATTATACAGGAGAATGGGTCTCATGGAGCTATGGGTGCTACCAGCCGCCGACCCAGCTAGCTTAACTACTTACCAGTCCACATACTATGTATAGCTCTTCATGTATCCGTACAGTGGAGGCTAGTCCCCATGTCGCTTGGCAGGGACCGCCGGCATGGACCGCCGGCAGGGGAGGGGCCCCATGAGGCAGGGGGTCCAGCATCACCACACTTCACACGCTGGAAAAAGCTTCGCGCGACATAAGGCGCGCGGCGGGCCTTTAGCAATCCGATTTAGCAGAGGACATCGCCGTCAGTTTCCATCATCATCATCATCATCATCAGCAGCAGCAGCAGCAGCAGACACGCACAGGAGCAAAGCGGACTATTCTGTCGTTATTACCTCCGTATCCACTCCTACCTCAACTACGGTGTCTGTTAGGAAGCTCGTTTAGACTGGGCTCCCCCTATCCTCTCGAGGGCCAGCTCTCCCTTCCGGGGCCTTACTTCCCCAGCTGCGCTTCTCTGTTAGCTGAAAGGTATATGGTGTTCTGATCCTGTGATTGAGGTTATCTCGATTGTATCTGACATATCTAAGCAGGGCCGCTGAGTCGGGAGGCTCCTCGCTATCGCCGACTTCGAACGCGGCAGCTCAACCGCCGAGACCGTCTGGCCTGGACCATCTCTTATGTGCGCATTGCCCCGTCGCTAAGGAGAAGCGAGGGTCGGGTGTAGGGAGACCGGGCTGGGCATCCGCGGTTTGCTGGATGGGAATCAGCCTACTGCCCAGACCGACACACAGCTCACGTTCAGCCACTGCTACCTCACCTTAACGATAGATAACCCGCTACCAATGTTCGAATTCAACCGCGGGACCGCCGGCATGCTAACACACGGCCGTATTGATCCCGGATCTCGGGAGCAGAACGAACGCGAGTCACTGGAGCAGGAGCGGAACACTTGGTTCGCCACCTTGGACAGCAACAGGCTGCAGTTCAAGGAGGCAAGAGAACGTATTAGGGCCGCCTGCGATCGCGCGCAGCAGAGCGTTCGAATCGACCTGGCAAACCAGGCCCAATTCATCAGCCGTCAGGTGTTGCCCTCAGATGTCGTCGAACTATTATGCCGTTATCAAGGTGAGATCCGGCACGGGCGTCTCGAACAGATCCAACTGGATCGCGACCGGTCATTAGAGACTGTCGATTGGCAGGAGAGAGAGGTGTTCTTACACCACCACCGGCGATTCCCATTATCGAGCAAGATCATGCCGATAGTCGGCTTGGGGTGGGGCGAAGGCGTCCCGGAACGCAAACCTCCCGCCCGAGCGACAGGTCGGGCGAGCGACCTTCAGTTTGGGGGAGGATCCGATGTTGCCGCACCCCACAATGCCGTCGCGCCCCGGACACACTCGCTTCCTGCCGCGGTCGGAGGGCTGACTATGAGACCGTCGGCCGCTGTATGTCGATCCCCGCCGGAGGACGGGGCTCGGCCCCCCCCGGACGGTCCGCCCGGGACATCCACAGCGGCCTCGGGAGCCTTCCATGAAGTCGCGCCCGGTTCCGTCGTCGTGCTGCCATCTCCGCAGGTCCAGCAGGCCTGCCAGAGTACTGGCCGTGACAGACACCGCTTCGCGTGCCTAGGCCATGAGACGGCCTCGACCTATCTCGTCGGGAGTGTGACAAACGCGTCAGAAGGGCTGGCTCGGCAGTGTGGGCGGAGTGCGGCGAAGCGCAGGCAGCCTTCAGCCGCGAACGTCGCGCCGAAGCGCGCGCGACTCACCGCCCAGAGGGCCGAGGCTCGAACGACCACCATCGACGAGGTTCGCCGCTATAATGCCGCCGGGGCCAAGAGCATGATCATCAAGTTTAATGGACTCTTCTACATCATCAGGTACGTTCCCTATGAGCTAGCGGCCGATGCGGCGGAACCAGGTCCGAGGGGGGAATATTGACGCGTGTTAGCTGCGACGAACACGGCATTCGCTTCAGACAACACGCCCTCGCCGAGGCTGCAAAGCATCTACAAGGTGCTTGCCATGGATATCCCACGGTCACAAACAGGCTCATTATCCAGAGCTTCGGCGTTCGTGTCGTTGACTGCACCGATGCCCTTGCGTTGATGAACAACGCCTGCGTAACAGAAGTTCCCGCCAGCGGATATAAGCCGACTAGCCGGGCCAGAGGCTGCGGCCGTCGCCGAAAATTCGTCCAGTACATGCCAGAGCTGTATCAGGCCCCCGCCCTGGCGGGCTGCAGAAGAAGAGGAGTCTCTATAGGTGTGGCCTCTACTGGTTGCACTTTGGCGCCGCGCTCCAGTAGCTCGTTGATTGGCTTCCGGTGGAAGCAACCGGGCAAGCGGCTAGGTGTTATATTTCCACCAATCCGGAGCCCGCGTCCCTATTCCACTTAATAGGGATGTGTGACCGTCGTGGTTAGTCGGTTCAGGGCCCAGGCTTAGAGGTAGATGCTGTCCAGGGTCGGCCCCTACGGACCTAAATCGTGGATGTGAGCTTGTCCTTGAAATGGGACGTCCCTGTTGAGGAAAGATCCCACCGCGTCGAAGTCGCAGTCCAGACGATCGCAGAAGCTGTGATCTTCTCGGCCCCTGGGATACATGTCCAGCGCCGCCACCAAACAAGGAATCATCTCCTCCGCCGAATCCACACATAGGGGCAGATGTCGGGTCTTAGAGGGAACGAGGTGGTCAAAGTGCCGAAGGGTACGGGTTGGTGGCTCGAAGCGTCTTTGAATCATCGACCCGCGAAATCCGGGGTTATCGATTGTAAGCGGACGCCCTTATGGCGCCAGGGCACCGTAGGTACTAAATTAGTCGGGTGCTCTCCTACCCACAACCGTGAGACGACTAGAGGCACTAACAGAGCTGTGGTTTGTAGCTCAATCAACACACACACTGTCCATAGTGCCCTAACTGATCCGCAATAGACTATCGCCGCCGCGCCGTTTCTAAAACAACTACTATGCCTTCGCTCCCCGTAGTCTCTGGCCGTACACATAGACGGCCAGGCATTCTTCTACGTTTCTGTGAATATAGACTTGCGCCTTGCGCACTGAGCTCGCTTCTATCTAACCTTGGCTTTATGTTATGTCAGTTCTGCCTTAGGCCCGGTCTGTATGATGTCTAACTGTTTTAAGGCCTATTCTGAAGAGACTATCAGGCTGCATTGGCACCGGAAGGCGCAGCTTACATACACGTCTCATGGTTCCGACATTGACACAGAACGTAACTATAACGATCATCGCGATGAATGAGGCGATTGAAGATAGGATGAGAGTTTTACTCATGAGCCCGTTCAAGGAACCCAAGACGGAAAAAACACAGAAAAAAAAAAGGGAAAAAAAAAAAAGAGCAAAAGGGGGATGGAAGAAAAGAGAGAAGAGTGGGCTGCCTAGTCGGCGTGATGAACTGATAGATTTGGGTTGGTCGTAATAGTGAGTGCTGTAAAGGGTTGTAAAGCAATTTTGGACTGGTTTGGAAGAAGATACCCTTCAAGTAGTCTTTCGGTTAGCGCAGACTCCTGCCCAACGTGTCTACCATAGCCTAAACGATCATTGGCAGAGACCTGGTCGCCGCGGAGACCTTTTCTCGTCCTGTTCACGCCATTGCCTGTCGTCGTAGAACCACGCCCGAGCCTGCCAGCAGACTGTTAAGACTCATACGTATGTATGTATATACGTATGTATGTTATATACGTATGTATGTATATGCGTACATATAGACGTGCAATTAACTAGGGTATGTAGCGTAGTCTTACATATCAACCTGCATCAATTCAGCTGTACTAAACAACCCCCCTAGAGAGACCTTGTTCTTCACGCGAGGTTCCAAGAGAAGGCAAGGTCGCGTCATCCCCCCCAGACCAACACTGATGCCAGATCTAGAGACAACAGTTGCAATAACTTTGGAGATGGATGTTTCCTTTTGCGGACGGTACTTCTCCGCAACTGCTACGTGGCATCAGCACGACCCACCTTGTCGCGCGACATAATAGACTCTCCAATGGCTGGATTCGACGTTTATCACTATCGTCGGAAACGCAACGGAGTAGGCGACGACGACCGGGTATTAAAGAGGATGCGAAACCCTCCTGTCAAATACCGGATAACTTAGATGACCCGGACAACAACGCTGATGCGATAGCTAGAGCGCCGGACCGCAGCAGACAGCAAGCGGATGGTTTCAACGCAGGCTCCACCGGCGAAGCGATGCAGAGATCCATGAACTAATTGTTTTCGTGTTCGTGGTCAGGGTCAGACATGCGCTTGACTAGCTTCCGAAGGCCTCTTCTATGTCGGCAGAGGGCCCGGTACCCCGAAATGATGTAATTTGGTGGCGATCACGCCCCCAGAAGTGATATCTACATGCCAGCGGCTCCCAAAACCCAAGGCGGATCAGTACGCAAGCCCTCTGACGTGCGGACACTGTGCTAGGATGGGCCACCGCTAACCCAATCGCTCTGAGATGGTTGTGAAATATGTGTCTTATAGTGGATCTTGTGAGTCTACCAGTAGTAGTAACCAGGAGGTTTATCTGCCTGCCCACGAGCGGTAAGGTCAAGGCCTTTTCGGTCAACGGTGACACATCGCCGTCATTGCGGTGTAGGAACCGTTGGCGTGGAAGATAGAAAGTCAGGTAGTAACTCTCTCTGCAGGACAAGACAGATGAGGGAGTCTAGTGCCCACGGAGTAGAATGCAGAGGCAGAGAAAGGCAGTGCCCTCAGATATCGTAGCGGTTATAAGTAGGATTCTGGATAGAATACTACTACTAGCAGAATCGGTATTCATGCTGATCAACCCAGGAGCGTGGATAGGCTACCTCGGGGCGTGTTCGCTATCGCTGCAAGCCACCACAAATGTATAAGAAGAGGGGGGCTCCCTCGCGTCTGCAGGACTACTAAGGAGGGTCGTACGATGCGCTCTGAACAAGACAGGCTATCTTCTCCATAACTGAGACATGTCCCTTTTAGTGCCCGCCTCTCACTCGCCAATAGAATCATGTAATCTCTCCCAAAATACTTCAACTGCTACTTTCGTCTGTAAATCTCCAGTGAGGGGGAAGCATTTATAGGGCCGCTAACAGGGACGTGTCTCAGGCATTAAAGATATGGGACAGACCATGGGGCTAAGACGGAGAGGAGAGCTAGTGTAGGTTAATTGGTGGGTTTTTATACAGCCCTACTAGCATTATAGAAGCTGCATCCGCCCGCTTTAGCTCGCAGCGCCAAGCTACATATCACTATATTTCCAATACACTAGCGCCGAGCGTTGTGAAGCGTAAGGGGTAATTCAGAGCAATCTTTGTTGCAAGAGCAATGACGTCCAGCTAGCGCACATCTGGATCTTCTGTTGCTTCTGCAGCGCGAGACGTTAAGAGAACCTTGAAGGATCCTGGATGAGATGGAAGGAATCTTTCCACGCACATATATAGATACGCGCCTAGTTAGCTGCGTCCCGACCAAGACATTCAGGACTCAGACCAGTATCGATATAGTCTCCACTATTCTTTTCACATCTTTGTGTTCTGCCCCCTGAAAGGCCTTATTGTTAGTGTTGTCTCCGTGTCTATATATATCACTACCTACCTCGCAGCGTCTCAGCGTTGCTGTTGCTTATAGGGCTAGTAGCAGACCATGTCGAGGTCCTTCCTCTAAGCTTTCGTCGTTATTTGGTGTATGGATATAAGTTGTTTACCGCCGTTTCAGTGCGGGCTGATATACGCTTCCAGCTCCTTCGTGTGTTTTTTTCACTCCTTTTTCTTTTTTCCAGTTTTCTTTTTCTTTTTCTTTTTTTTTTTTCTCCCTCTCCTTTCCCCCTTCATTCTCTGGTTTTTGTTTTAATTAACAATGCCTACACAAGGCAACTAGTCCTTCGGGTTGGAGGCCCCCTTTTTCCTCAGAGAATGTGATTAGAGTCCCGTCTCCGTGTTTCCCTTTGGCGAATCAATCGGGACTGCCGTGCCGTCTAGCAATAAAAAGAGAAAACGCACCGTTTCTCCCGCTTGTCCCTAGGTACACTCCGATGAAGCAGATACTCTACTCTGGTGTAAGTCCCAATTCAGCCTTCCCTTTCCGGTGTGTGTAGCTGCGCTAGGACTATAGCTCCTTTCTGAGATAATCCGTATCATAGTTTACGTATGTGTCTTCTTGGAAGGGCTGCGTTGATCTCCCTGGAATCTTTATTCTTGGACGAAGCTCCATGTGCCCATTGCCCGTCCCTATCTCGTTCTTCATCGTGCGAAGGTCCCTTGTAATTAACTTTGTGATAATCTCTACGCTGTTGTCTTCCTGTCCTGCGTTTCCGCATTTCTTCCACGTATTATATACAATCCCGATAGCCATATATAAGGACCTTGTTTCTGCTGCGCTACCGACAGGAGTAGCTGCTTGCCGTCCTCTTCGCCTGTCATGGCTTGCTCATTGGCCGCGCCAGCATCTTTGGTGAAGCGGTCACTTGCCTACACACTATTCGCAGCAGTCTTTATTCTGCGACCCATTGCGTGCTTGTCGATTTCCTGGTAGCCAGCTCTGATACAGCCGCATGCTTTGCTGCCTTTAGGTCTGTTTTAATCCCCCCATCATCTAGCTCATAAAAAGGAAGGCCAAGTGTTCTTGCGCCGCTCGCTCATTTCCCTTCTATTATCTGATACTCCGTTTTTTTTTTTTGAATCAATGTGTGTTACAGTCTCGGTCTGCCTATATGAACTAGACCAGCTATCGCACTTTTTCAACAGGTTTAGTATATGCCTAACCCTGTCTCACAGCGGACTACCGGTTCAGGCTAAGAGCCGGAAAATATTCTAACCTATACACCACCACGACTGATGCCGTGACCTCTATGTCCACACGGCTCGCTTCCTCGTATCGTCTACAGGCGGTAGTACACTGAGCCCGTTACAACCTCCTCTAGTCTAACATCATACTTGGTCGATAGGTCCATCCGTACGGGACTGCTAGTGTGGCCGAGTAGGTGGTTGTCTAGCTCGTGTCGGCCGGGATGGCTGCCCCACTCTAGTTGGCCGGCTGCCTTGGGCAGGGCGCGGACGGGTAGCGGGGATTATGCTGATCTGCTTCTTCGTGAATGTGGGGAATGGCCTCGGAAGGCCCAAGTTAGCATTTCTCGCCGGCTTCCGCGCCACGGTAATGCCTTCGTTCGCCATGAACTGCTTGCATCCCCAAGTGAGCAAACCCTTATCATTGACAGATTCACCACCACCGCAGGCATTTTGTGCTATGTCACAATCTCATCAGCATCATATCGACTGCACTGCCCACCACAGAATGTGAGACGGGTGTAATACTCACGTCCTAGGGAGCCACTTATGCCTGCTTTTCCAAAGGCCACAATGCGCGTGGCTGGGGGCCGTCTCCGCGCCTCCTGCGACACCTCATCATCCAAGTTATACTGAAACGGCGTGTTAGTAAGAGTAAGCATCTAGCGGCAGACCCACCATTCGACATGGTGTGGCCAACCTGCAGTAGGATAGACTTACCTGGTGAACTGTGAAGACTTCCGCACAGCTCGCTCGGGTCTGGTGCTCTTTATTGACGGGGACTTTCTTAGAAGCTTGTAGCTGTGCCTGGCATTGCTCAAGAGCAAGTCGGACCTCCGGCTTGGAACGCGAATCGGCGAACTTGTTATACACGAACCAGCCACCCTTTAAACTGGAGGATAGGTAGATGTCCTTCCCGAGAGCCATAGCGGCCATCATGCTGGGCTGAAGGTTTTGATCGATACCGTCGGCCCGGAACTTGGACTGCATTTGCGTGTGGGCCAGACTGGCAAGCCCATAGAGTTGGTCGTCTGTGAAGAGCGTAGCAGTGTCTGCTGTGAACGTGAGTTTAGACGAGTAGATAACGCGCTGGGCGTTCTCATAGGCGCTTTTGTCGAGCTTAATGCCGAGGTCCTGAGCCAGGACGCTTGTAACTATGGTGAACAGCACAAGCAGGCCCGAGAAGCTGGCCGTCCAGCCGTGGGACATGGCAGACCGCATCGAAGCTTTGATCAGTCGGGGGGGAGGAGGTGAAAAAAATTGTTAGGGTTGACAGATGCCCCGGTTCCCAGTACCTATTGTGGTGAGAGGTAAACAGTCGATGTTTGTGAGGAGCAATACGCCGTGAGGCCGGTGGACTTCAGCAGCAGAAAGCGGTGGTCGAATAATACTTATAGCCGGACAAGGCCCCTATGCGAGATCCTAATGATAAGATGGCCTCCTGATAAATCCCCCAACAGGCGACATAACTGACAACATCCTGCCTTACCTCAATACTGAGAAGGATCCCCTGCGAGGGCTTCTCCGAGCCGTATAAGGTGGTTTCGGGTGGTTCAGACGGATTGAAAGAGTGAAAGCCGCAACAAGCCGCAAGCCTGGTCTACGTTGCCCTGCGAGGAAATTGACATGTTCCTGCAGGCTAGGCGGAGGACTCCCAGACGGCAGCACCGAAATCTCGGGGAAGGATATCGGAGCCACAGACAATGAGTGTATAGTCAACGGTTTGCTAGACCCTGCGTGTCGGGAACCCCGAAGTCAGGGCGCAAGAGAGTATTTATATCCGATTAGGCCAAAGGTAAGCTAATTACGAGGTGACGAGCTTGGACGTCAACTAGCACCAGCATCGCAACGTTCTACCTTCGTTGAAGCCGGAGACCTGGTATGCGCTAAATATAGTGTCGCAGAATCTAAAGGGTCCCACTCGGCAGAGGCAACAGATGGAAGGAACAAAAATCTAATTAATGCGGAGGTGGGTTGTTAGGGGGGGGCGGGTGCGGAGGGTCGGTAAGTCGGGCGGGCCTAGTGCAATCTCATCCGTTGCCCTCGGGAACCCCGTGGCTGGAGCCTCGATCGGAGACTTGACACCGCCGTTACCCCAGCAGTCGTCTCCGCGCCGGCCGGAAGGGGCTCGATTCCAGCTTTTTCACAGACACCGAAGTTGAGCCACAACAACCAACCCCACATATCACGATCTCTTTTCCCCAACCAACGCATATCGTGAAACCCAACGCGCCTATATGATGAGTGACGCAAAACGTGTGATTCATGCATTTGGCTAGGAGATATTAGTCAGCTTCACAGCATACCTCAGGCTTTATGTTAACACCTTTCAGAGGTCGTGGATGGCTTGGGAGCCGGAACGAAATCAGGAGACAAGAGAGACAGAGGACGGGTATAAGACGAGAGATGAGAGACAGAGACGAAGTGAGGGTAATCAAAGCTATCACTACGCTGGTCATACTGACCAATGGCCGCTTGTTTTGCTCCTGGTCATCCTTGTTGTTATCCAATAATATATTGCCTTATCCAATTCCTTCCCAAATACCATAAGCAATTGCGAGCTATACAAATGGCGTACAAAAGAAAACAATGCTCTACGTCGGGTTCTATTCCACCATGACCAGCCACATTTTCTCGCGCCACATGGAAACACATATCTGACTTTCAAACTGAGGCGGCGCACTAGATTCCTCAAGAGTCGGTTCGACAATTCCAACAATGCTTTTAGACGCCCCTTTACGATCACTACCTTTTATGGAGCGAGCGCCCTTTGATTGATTCGCTCGGGGTTTCACCGGGTAGGCTTCGTTTGGCGGCTGCCTTGGCCACCAGCCGGTCTGCTCGGGCCAGCCGGTCTGCTCGGGCCACCTCGCTCCAGTGGCTTGAATGTCGATCGATAATTCTTGGAGTCGTCCGCAGAGACGGAGGTATGGAGAGCCATCCGCATGTCCGCCTTCTTCTTCGGGTTGCCGGCCGGCTTCTGCATCTCCTTGCGCGCGTCGTTGAGCTTGAACGCTTTCGGGGGCTGGGGCCGAGGCTCCGTCGGCTTAACATGCTTCGTCACACTGCCTTTGTACCAGTACACCGACCCATGATTGCTGCGCCCAAGAGGGGCTAGAGACTTGACGTCAATAACGAGGCCGCCCTCCTCCTTCGCCTCTCGCACCACACAATCAGCCAGCGTGGTATCATGGCGTGAGTCGTAGCCGCCCCGAGGCAGGATGTAGCCGACCTGGTCGAAGTTGCCATTTGCCGGAATCATCCAAACGTTGCCATCTTTGTCGTAAGGGACGACACCACATCGCACGCGATCTTTGGAGCCCTTGAGGGTCACTGGGTTATTGGTCAGTCATAAGCTCCTGGCTCTGATCTAGCGAGTGAGGCGTGCAGTTATTACTGACCTGAACCGTCTTTGCCTCCGGTCTTGACCGTATCAGAGGGGAGGCGCCAGGCATCGACGCCCTTCATACCCTGCCACACGTCCTTGTCTCCCGGCAAGAGGTCTTTCCCATTCTGTGCCGTGACGGTGTGGATAGCGAACGCACCCCAAAGTGCAACAGACCACACGTTAGAAACGGAATACTGCATCTTTTCTGTTGGCTGGATAGCTGTATATCTTTTATTGGTTTGTTTGTTTGTCACATACTCTGTGAGAGAGTGAAAGAGAGAGAGTGAAAGAGAGAGAGTGAGAGAGAGTGAGAGAGAGTGAGAGAGAGTGAGAGAGAGTGAGAGAGAGTGAAAGAGAGAGAGTGAGAGAGAGTGAGAGAGAGTGAGAGAGAGTGAGATGGAAATCTGACCTCCACCTGTGTAGGTCAGCTCATCCAAGTCAAAATATTACAACAGGCAATCTCAGAGCAAGTAGAGCAGTAGTAAAGAAGCCAACTAGGGGAGATAGTATCAGCGATAGAGCTAACACATTATATACCATAATCCACCACAGGCCACCTCCCTACTGTTCCCAGCTCAGCCTTCTTCGGGGTGCCCGTCTACGCTCATTCATCCTTGGTCATTCGGCATTGCCGTCAACTGCTGATAACACTGCTAGCTATCAGCTCCATCATGGAATCGCCGTACATGAGAGTGTAAGGACCAGGTGGGAACCCTGGTCATCGGCTCCTGCGTTCCATCTCCTCTCTAAAGTAAATCTGCACGAGGTGTAACGCGCATGAACGGTCGCCCCGAGTCCTGATCACTCTGACCGTACGGGTGGAACGGCCTTGGTCGAAGGCCAGAACCGGAAGATGGAACTTTGGTAGTCTGGCAAGAAACCGGGCGAGGACTCTCCTAATAAGGAGTCAGGCAAAGATTCTGATAAGATCCAGACGGCGGGGAATGGACACTAGAGGCCCCTCACGTTACATTCAAGGTTGAGAGGTCTTTTACTGAGGTCTAATAGTCTGCGGAACAATTAGTGTTAGTGACAGCTTTTATAAGTCAGTTCCCACCCGAATAGTGCGAGAGGGCATGCCCAATAGACAGAGGACGCCCTGCGGTGTTGCTTTCTGTGTCTGCAAACTTGTCCTTCCACACTGACCGAAGAGTCGGCGTGAGTATATATTGGTCCAAGGACCCTGAAAATTAACGGTGCCCATAGAAACCACATCTTCGTCGTCAATTACGTGCTCCTATTCTCCCAAATAGTATAAAGACAGGACCGTAACCCGTACTCTCCCGTCACCTGCTGGATAACGCCAGTAGATGAGGATGCGGAGTAGTAGCAAACTGGTTGTGATCGATATTCCCCTTTAAGCGAGTCACGTAAGTCGATCGCCGTATGTTTGGAATAGGTCAATGGATTAGCGTCCTTCAGCAGTTACATAGTACAACTACAGGCTCCCGCGTCAAGTAGACCCTAAAACGCTAAGAGGAGAGAGGGAAAAGAAAAATAAAAAAGAAGAAAGTGCTATTAGTCTGATAGATGCCGTCGCCTGCCCCCCGAGTAGTCGCTCAGCAACGCCCACGAACTTCATTAGGGGGCGCTTTGCAATACAGCCCTTTCCCGTCGGCGCACTTGAAGCCGGTATCAGCAGCCTCACGGCAGGCAGCCTCCCACTCTTTCCCTGCGATCTGGTCGCTGCCGGTAGACTTCACGCACTATTTGAGTCGTTAGGGCTGTTATCCGATCAGGTCGCCAGAGATAATCATACCTGTCCAGAGGAGGCGTCGAAGTCGCCCTTTCCCCACCGGTGCTGCTTTGAGGCGTACAGCTCGCATGCCTTCGCGGTGATACGCAGGTTGGGATAGCCGCTGTTGTGACACGCGCAGCTATCGTGAAGGTTGGCAGAACTTTGGGGACGTTAGGCGAGACAGCCCGGGTGGAATAGCTAGGAATGCCTGGGACTTACGCGACAGAAAGGAGGGCTAGGCCGGCGGCGGCCTGCAAGAAACACAGCTGCATCGTCACACAGAAAGGTTCGATGCTCCGCTACTACCGTCGCACCGTGGGAAACAACAAGTGGAACCTGGCCGTTTGTGTAGGACGATAAAAACGCTATGCCCGGCTGATAGGCTGCATAAAGCAGCAGTGAAGAAGTGGAGAGGCACTTTAACAATAAGTTTGAGTACGATTAGGGCAAGCGGAAGCCTCGATCATGATGGCACGAGGCGGCCCGTCTGGTTTTATATTCACAGCCCGGTGGTAGGGGATAGCCCTCCTGGTAGCTAGCTCAGCGGCGTGTTAAATCACCAAGCGGCATGCATCCAGCTCCATGTGGCTCATGGTGTTTGCCCACCGCGCCCACTAGACGTACCAGTTATGGGCTGCTAGGAGCACGTCCGCTTCTTTACCTGGTAGCTGGAGTTGCCGCCGGACAGAGCGAAGCTCATTTCCGTCTTCTGATGTCCGTCTTTCGTCTCGCGGACTCCGCCCTCCCGGCCGTCATTAGATGCAGATGGCTGTTGTGGAGCCACGTGGAACAATAGACAGCCCTCTTTTTTCTTTTTTTTTTCTTTCTTTCTTCACATGCGAAGCGCATATACCCATCTGATTGCAAACCTATCTATCATCGTCTTGCCCATCGTCTAGGTGAAAGATACGACGACGAGAGGCTATAGCGTCGAAGGTCATGGGCAGCGTGGCCCCGAGGCCCACAGCTGATGAACAGCATTCGTTAGGACAGGGTATTTTACACTAGTGTTCGGACGGAATGCCCCTGTCACCGAGCAGAACTTCTGCACATTCCTTTGCAGAAACCCCGTCCCATTTTACTATACTAAGTAGAATCTCGATTAGGATTCTTGCAGCCACTGGGCATGTCCTTCGCAACGCCTCGGCAGCCCCGAAAGTAATCCAGGTTACGCCCAGCAGCCCGTGATGGCAGTCATGCGCGTACTGCCTGTCGTTTCCTACTGTCCGCGCGTCAGGCTTCGTCTATCCGAAGAAAAGGGAAGGCAAAATCATCTTGAACCTTCCCTATCAAAAGGCTCCCTTTGCTGGAAAGTGGTCGTTCGCCGGGAACAAGGATACTCGTCGTCGCCGAGCCGTACGAACCCTAGCGAGGGCCCTGTCTGGCTCGCAAGCTTCGTTATGTCGCCCCGCCGCTGCCGCTAGTCTGGACCTGGGTGCCGTATATGCCTCAGCATGAGATCGTCTGCGCAGTACCTACTGCAGCAGACAGTCGATACTATTGCTAAACAGGTTTTATCAAACTAGACGTCAACGGATTAAACAATAACAAAAGCACAACGTCTAAAAGTATATGAATAGCCGCAGTCGTCTAGTCCATCTCCAGAAACATCTCGCCTCCTCACTACTCTGCGCCCTACGCTTCACGCTCGTTTCTCTTACCCAGCCCGCGACTAGCTGACTTCTTCTCGCTCCCATCACTTCCCATCGTCCGCCCACCTATCAACAGACTGGGCGTTTGTTATTGACATATCATACAAGATGAGACGGTCGCTCCTCATCACTACATTCAACCTACTCAATGTTGCTGTAGCTGTTGATGTCTCCCAGCCAGCCCCTTACCCTCTGAGTTTCGACGACGTCGTCGCTGTGAACGAGGACGGTTCCCACAGAATCCTCAAGACAGCAGAGTATGACGCTCTACTAGCGCGTGTTGCGCCCGAAACCGTCCAGATGAACGTGCGGGTCACTGAGGGGGGCGGCCTCACCCGTCGTGACTGTAGAGGGAGCACGGAGGTCCAGGTCGAGTCTGACGAGGAGTTTCTTAACTGGGATGTCGCTATCTCGCCCATATTGAGCTCCCATGGAGGCACTGCTACTGTTTCCGTGGCTAAAGGCTACTCCGTTGGGAATTCAGTTATTGTTGGCTCGACCGCTAACGTTGCCTTCGCAAAAGTGGCCCTAAGCATGTCTCTATCGGTTAATTACGCCCAGCGTTGGACGACTTCCGATAGTCAGACTCTCAGCTTCACCGTCCCGGAAGGCCAGCATGGCCTCGTCGTGTCACAGCCGCTCGTCCGTCGGGTCACCGGGCGTCTGCTCACCGGCTGCAGCCATCGCCCGACCAGCACGCCGTTCACTTCCGACACCTACACTGACCAAAGCTTCGGCAATCTCGATTTCGTTAAAGGCGTCATACGGCTTTGCAACAGCACCGTCTACCCTATCCCTTACTGTAACGGTCAAGGCTTCCACTACTAGGACAGCGGGGACAGATTGGGCCTGTAGTTGCCTTCAACGGGAGATCTCGGCGGCAAGGTGGATGGGAGGGGAGTACACAGTTGACTGCGCATGCCTTGGTGGGCAGAACAGCTGTTGCCCAGACGGTCTCATCTAAGGGCAAGGTGATTTGAAGACTCTATTGCTACCAGCGTGTGATAAAATGGTCTTTAGTGTGGTAAGGGCAATATATATGCCTTGACGCATGGATTGAGGCAGTGGTCTGGTGAGCGCAGGCGCGCTGTAATCAAGTATTTCAGCCGGCAGAAGAGAGATGTCCAACAATACCTCGATCATTCGAAGGGTTTCAGAGGCTAATGACGTAAATATAATCTTCAGGAGCTTAGAATTCGGAGGGTGGTGTGATCAAAGACCAGGATTCATAACAAAGAGAGGGGGGGGGAGGAATAGAAGAAGTGGAAAAAGAAGTAGAAAAGGAGTTAGAGAAAGGAAAAGAATAAGAGTAATGAGAAAGCTGGATGATTCTTGTCACGGGCACCATGCTGCTGTAGGTTGACGTTGGCCTGTGACCGATGCTTCAGCCCTAGAGAGGGTGTGTCAATTGCCCACCACCTCCGGATAACCAGCTCTAACCTTTGCAGCAGCGCGTAGCAAGCGAAGAAGTCCTCTCACATTGAAGCCAAGTAGAGATGTCCAGGCCATTGAAGAGCTGGAGGAGCTAAAGACCTCTCGAGAGAGAGGAAAACAGAAAGAAACCACAAGACAAACTAATTACTCATAGTGTATCGATGTCGTGGACGGAAAGAGCGTGGAGTGTCCATGGCGTATCACGGAGCTGGAGCGGGTGAGGAGCAAAGCCACGAAAGATGGGGTCGGCACAGAAGGGGCTGAAAATGCCGGCGTCGCCGCTGTAATGCGAGATAGGTAACACCTACTACTAACGAGGCTGTACCATACCCGTTATAACGCGTCCGCTGGTTTACAGGCCCCATCATCATCAGCATAAGAGTCAATCTTCAATTACATAGGCTACCTAATAACCTTCCGCGCGGTTTATCTTATTAATCGACCAATCACCTCTCCGTATCACCAAGTAGTTTAGACACTATCTATTCCGTAGGTCTAATACCGTAGATAACACGAGCTGGATAGTCGTCATACGAGCTGGATAGTCGTCATACGAGCTGGATAGTCGTCATACGAGCTGGATAGTCGTCATACGAGCTGGATAGTCGTCATACGTGACGAGGCGCGTTTGCGAAAGCGTCCAGGATCTGGGTCGTCCAGCTATAATGAATGCATGAACCCCAACTGCAGGCTCACGATGTTCTGAGTGACTAGCGAAAAGTATTCTCCTTTGATCTATGCTCCAGGCTTTCATGGAGGCAGTACGTCACCGCGTTAGCGAAGCCGATGAACTGGCTCGAGCTCTGCAGAGCCGCTAGCAGCAAACCATGCGATTCGACCCCAGACGCTTCCATCACTCTGTTCACAAGGGCGGGGATCCAGAGCAGGATGTACAAGATGGGATACGAGTTGAGAAGCATCATGCGCTTGATGCGCCGCTCCAATCTCCGGGTCTGCTCGTCAATCGAATGATGAGCCGCCGCCGCAGCGGTGAGATTCGGCGGCATTACTTTATCACTCGCGCCGACGTCTCGGCTAGAGCTCGGTCGGGAGTCCACCAGGTAATCATCTCCCCATGGTTGAGGATTACACCGCGATAGCATGCTTCTGCTACTGCTGTCTGATGTTAAACACCTCGTAACAGGAAACGCTGTGGCGTCCGTCGCCAGCGGGGGAAGGTTGTATCCCAGCGGGGGAAGGTCGTATCCCAGCGGCTGTGCGGTCCGTGGAGGGTGTCGTCCACACATAGCCGCCGCGACTTGCGGCCGTGGCCAATCCACGTCCAATCGACTCACCGTCGTCTCGCGTGCTGTTAACGGAGCGGCAGTGCTCGTCGAGCTTCCGGTCCAGCCCAAGGAAGCCGGCGCCATTGCAGCGGGCCGAAGGCGTTGGCCGAGGTACCACCAGACGTAAGCGTAGATGGAAACGGTGGCGAACATGATCCACAGACGCCAAACGTACGTGAGGGCAAATCGAAGATCGGGTCTGTCCCACGTTATCCAGCACCAGTTCCCGCTGACGGGCCCCACGACGCCGATCCCAGCCGCCGCGACGCTGGTAGCAATAGGGACGAGCCACACGCAGAAGCAGATGGAGACCTTCTCGAGGAACGTCCCCTCCGCCATGGACGTTTTTTGTTTTACTACCAGAAGTGTGGCAATAGCGATGGCGAGGATGGAAAAATCAGACGCTTGCACCGACAGTTGACCAATCACGCTGTTCAGGACACATGCTGTTCCGCGTCGTAACCCTCTGTCTCGGATGTATATGATCCCCGAGACGGTGTTGTTGCCCGAGTTAATGAATTCTTTTTCATTCGGAAGCCGTTAGCCCTCTCGTCCTCTCGGAACAATCTTGACGGGAACCACTTTACCGGTCCACCATGAGGTTGAGAATGAGGATGTGGCGCAAAGACCGGCGCCGGGTGCGTTGGAGACCGATGGAGATCAATGCGCCAAACGTCGTCAGGAACGAAAGACTACTCCCCATCAACGTCAAAGACTGCAACTAGTACGTTGAAAGTCCATTGTCGACGTACTGGCACCACGATGCTGTAGCTCTTTCCTCTACAAGCTACCTCACGCAGAAGTCCTTCACTTTGCTCTGTGTAACGGTCGAATATATGACCAGCGAGAGACCATCTTCGCCGTACTGGCCCAGTTACACGATGACCGGGAACCGTCGCGGATTGGGGTCCATCCAACTTTCAATTGCGGGGCTATAACTGACCGGTAGTGCCATTCGAACCTTAGCAAGGGCGCGTCTCCACCAAACCCGGTCAAAGAAAAAAGAAAGGCGTGGGGAGGGGAAGGAAAAAAAAAAAAAAAAAAAAAGAAGAAGACTCTCCGAGGGGGAGGAAGAGGGAAACATAGGAAAAGGATGAGGAAAAAATTGGGGGCCCTCACGGCGCGGCGTGATCTATGTCAGGGTGAACTAAACGCCATTTGGCCGATGGCATGGCATTGTCTGGGCACCGGAATACCGTTTTAACCCTAGTCGTGATCTAAACGGAGTGGGGCCGAGGTAGCCGCAGGTGAGGCAGTCGGCAAGGGACACTAGAAAGACAAGGGGTCAAGGTGGGGGAAGTGAGGTCTACTTTGCCGACCAAGGTGTTTTTTTGTTCCCTGTCTCCTTCGGTTCCGGTGCCCGCCGCGGAAGATTGTTCGTTAGAAGTCTTGAGTCTGCAAACAACCGGCTTCGGACAGTCCGCAGGCAAGCTGGACAACCGCGCGTTTGAGCTACCAGGTCAGCGGCCTACTGCTCGGGGCCTCGCAGTCATCTGTACACTGCCTGCTGGTCTACCGGCCTGCTGCAAGAAAGTCGCGTCTCCCATCCCTCGTTAGACTGTGGCATAAGCATTCGGTACGATGCTGGATCAAGAGACGGTTACCACATGTATCAACCATTGTCTGACGATCTATGATGAACACCGCTTGACGGCTGGTAGATTGAGATTAAGATTAGCGTATATATAAATATGCTCGGCGATTCACTAGGATCCGACCTGCCTGCCTTCGCCCTCGGTCGACCCAGACAGCCGTCATTTGTCAACTGACGCTGTGTTCTTGGCGCAAGCCTACCCGTGTTGCCTCGTCTTGGATTCGGATGCCTCACCCGGATATCTATTGTATTATTACGTACATACTATGGTAACCAGATTTCGTACGTACCGCAACCGTCATCGAGGCGCACATGCTCAAACGTGTACGAGTCAACGCTGGGGGATTTTCTGCTTGGTCAACCCTCCAACAAAATCCCCCACTCGTCTCTCGACCTCACAGAGAGCTAATTTTAGGTCACCACGACACGACAAGAAACTGACATCGCCGGCATCCACGGCTTGCCGCAGGTCCGTCGCCGATTCCGTGAGCCACCTGGGCGACGGCTTTCAAGAGAAGGCTTTCAAGAAAAAGACCGAGCGAGCTCGACGTCCGGCAGCAACATAGCGCGACTAACGTCTAATTGGTAGGAACTATACTGTTTCTACTTGACATATCCCCGAACGCCAACCATGCTAGTTGGGCATAGCATGAGCCGCTGTTTAGAGGGCAACGAGATCTTTACAGGAACGCCATCATTATCTATTGTACTTCATTGATTACCTAGTACATTGCTACTAAACAGAGCATGAGGTCCATCCATCCCATGGCCGTCCACCACACACCACACTTATTACAGCGTGTCCGAATCTTGCTTAGACTGTCTTGATACTAACGGGTTTCAGCCTTAGGACGCTAGTTCCGGGCAACCAAACCCGCGCACATCCTCTCGACGAGCTCGAAGGTGTTGTCGAGGGCATTCGTATCGGCCAGGTTCTTCCGGAACGGTCCTGATGCCGTCCGTGTAGTGCTTCCTGTTGGTCCTGATCTTGGAGAAGGCGTCCCGGATCTCCCTTGACGGACACGTAGTCCGTCTTGGAGAGCGCGGCGTAGGGGATCTGCGGCAGGCCGATGCCGACGCCCATCCTCTCGAGCCGACGTGCGAAGTACGTCTGGTCGGCGGCGTAGTCCGTCGGCAGGATGATTTGGGGGACGCCCGCGGCGATGGCGTCCGTCATGGAGCCGACGCCGCCGTGGGTCAGTACCAGGGACATCTCCGGGAACAGCGTGGCCCACGACGTCTCGCCCACGAACAGAGATGGAAGACGCGTCCGTTGTGGGTGAGGCGCCGGAAGCTGGACTCGGACCGTTTGACGTTGTGCAGGATGATGAAGCTCCAGTCGGTGAGGGCGGCCAGCTCCTGCTTGGCGACCTCGAAGAATGCCGGGAAGGCGTGATCCTTGTCGAAGGGGCGTTCCTTCATACCCATTCCCATGTAGAAGATGGGCCGCTTGCCCTGCTTGTCGATCCACGAGTACACCTCTCCCTGGCGGCCCGGTCTGGCCGTGCTGGAGCGAGCCGGACAGCCGCGGAAGCTTGCCGACCATGGCCGCCCCGACGGCGTTGGGGGACGAGCTGTCCCAGATCTCGGGCTGCTGTGCGTAGATCCGGATATGGTTGGGCTTGATGTCCTTCTTCGTGAGGGCGGTGGAGCGGATGCCGGGCAGGTAAAAGACCTGGAGCTCGACCAGGATCCGGTCTCGGGCGGGCGCCGTCAGCTGCTGGATCTGGCGGCGCTGGTCCGGCGTTGTAGCAGAGGGGGGGATGAAGTGGCTCGCGACGATGAGATCGGGCGACCAACCGTGGAGGATGGACGCCATTTTCTGGATAAACATGGCGACCGCCTGGTCGCGCCGGGGCGGGTTCGTCTTCGAGGCCCACTCGCGGTTGTCGTTGGCGAACTTGGCCTTGAGACCTTCGGGGAAGAAGTCCCGGTAGCTGTCGCCGAGGACAATAGCGTGCTTGACGTCGAAGATGGCCGGTCTATCGAGCATGCCTTGGAGCACCGACGAGAGCAAGGGGACGTCGCCGTTGCTCCCGCCATAGATGATGAAGAAGACCTCGATCTTGCCCTTGTTCTTGCTGCGAGCCTGGAGGCCCCTCTGCAGCTGAGTCTCAACAGCCTTCAGGGCCTGGGACGGGCCGGGGATCTTGCTGCCCGGGGCGCCGGCCAGGATCTCGATGACCTCTCTAACCTGAGAGTCCGCGGCGGTAGATGGGCGCTGAATACCCCGGGCGGCCAACGCCTCAGCCGCGACACTGCTGTTCCAAGCATCCGTTCCCAAGCCCTCTGGTGCACCAGGTGCACCTCCTGGGACGGGACTGGCGGCGGCGACGGCGGCAAGAGAGCTGCCAGCGAAGAGGGCGAATATCAATAAGACACAAAGCGTGCGCAGCGGTCTGTACAGCCTCGCGGCGTCCCTCTCGAGAGACATGATGTAAGGACGTAGGTGTTATCGCCTTGGTGATTGAAGACGATGGTGAGCAGAGTAACTGCGAGAGAGAGAGAGAGAGAGAGAGAGAGAGAGAGAGAGAGAGAGAGAGAGAGAGAGAGAGAGAGAGAGAGAGAGAGAGAGGAGAGAGGAGAGAGAGAGAGAGAGAGAGAGGTGAGAGGAGAGAGAGAGAGAGAGAGAGGTGAAGCTCTCAGATGACGGCTGATCACAAAGTTATCCTGAAATCATGCGTCCAATCAATGATATTCCTAAATATTTCATTTCGGCGTCTCCTCAGCTAGGAGGAGCCCAGCTGTGGAACGAGGAGGAGGTACTAACGCTGGGCCAGACGGTCAACCCGCCGTCCAGAACATCTTGACACCGCAGGACTTTTCGTATGGTGCTGTCTGCAGTCGAACGAACATATGCGTCCAAGTTGGATGCTGTTGACACGGACCCCCCGCGTCTTGGCTCTCGTTGGGGGGTGAGGGGGTCGTGGCCGCCTTCAGCCGAGCTGGCGGCTGGCCCGTTGCGAGGAAGAGCCCTCTTCGATTGCTTGCCGGGGCTGCACTTGGGACGAGGAAAGCATCGCAACATGCCCATCGAAGCATCCTCGTCGAAGAGAATGAGGGATACCAGCGTGTGCGGTGGCTCTTGGTCGGATATTGCCGTCCGGGCAGCCGTACGGACGAAGTGGGCTCTCAGTTTTCGGAGACGCCGCCGTCAGCCTTTTGCTGAGATCCTCGACCGGACCCAGTCTCCAGGCCTGGTTATTGCTGTTACCAAAGTGCCGGAATCACCAGAAAACCAATTCGCTCGACAGCGGGGAAGACTAGTAAACTCCTCGTCCTCCGCGGAACACGGTGCGTCGCAAGCGTTGTCCTCTCACTACTTAACCCCTCCGGTCTGCGCAACGTCCTTGATCCCACTTGAAGTGGTCCCCGATACGTTGTGCTGCAGATCCCTACATTGAAGGCGTCCCTTCCCCGCGAAATCCAACTTCACGCTCCTTTAGTCGTTTTCAGGCTTCGCCTTCCCCATCAATCTTTTTTCTATTGTTTCCCTCGCTCGTTTCGTCATGCACTGGTCTCTTGCCACTCTAGGCTGCCTTCTGGCGGCCTCGGCCTCGGCCGTACCGCTCGCAACGCAGCATGTTCCGGGCCTCGCCGCTCCCGTCCTGCCGTCGTCAGCAGGAGACCTCGGGGCCGAAGACGACGCCGGAGCGCACGTGCATCTCACCACGGCCGGCTCGCTTGTCGGCAGAGACATCAAGAAGGGCTGGTTCAGTGCCCAGGAGGCAGCGATGCTCCAGAAGGAGTCGGAATCCGACGTCAACTTCTTCCACCTCATGGACAGCCTCGACACCCTCAGCCAGCTTTTAGATCGAAACAGAATTCCCTGGGCTGTCGCCGGCGGCCTTGCCTTGAAGATCCACGGCCAGCCCAGCCGTTATACCGGCGATATTGACATTGTCGTCCAGACGACGATGTCCAAGCTCAAGACAGCGCTGAGCAAGGACAAGAAGTTTATTCTCCCCGGCCCCGGATGGCCAAGCGATTCCCACCTGCGGGTCTACCACAACCAAGGGAGCTCGTCGAAGCCGAAGTATATCGAGGTTGATATGATCATTGCAGGTTAGCTTTACCTTACTCCTTGCCTTGCCTTGCCTTGCCTTACCCCCACCCGGGGGGTGGGGAGCTCGTTCGTTCGTGGAGCGATATTGACGTACATCATAGGCACGCTCACCACACCCGAAAATCTCAGAGCCAACTCAAAGGATATCCAAAAGGAGACGAGGGCCAAGAAGGCGCTCACCATCCACGTGATGAGACTTGGAAAGATCTTCAAGTCCAAGGTCTACGCTTTGGCCGCAGACCATCGCAACAAGAACGACAAGGACATGAAGGATATCAGCTGGATCATTGAGAAGACCCCTGGGGCCCTCGTTAACGTCCAGCAGGACCTGACATACGATCTGCGGCAGCTGGTGATTATGCATCTCGTCCGCCTGAGGTCGCCCCTGGTCGCTAAGGCCAGAGAGCTCCTCGGAGTCGATAACGGCGCGCGTCTCCACGCGGTGCCAGCTCCGCAGATCGTCGGTGTTCCGCCGAACCAGGAGCCGGGCTTCGTTAGCTGGCTGTTTGACGGCACCCCTGGCCACACCGTGTGGGGCTAGATGTGGTAAGGTAGGGCTGACGGTCATCGGACGGATGGCGGGCGGTTCGGATGGCGAGCGAAAGTGAGCCAATCGGGGAGTGTACCGCGGATGGCTTGTATCTGGTTTCCTGTTGTTTTAGCTGGAGCTGGCGTACAAGTATGGACGAGGTCGCAGTCCACGGTTTGAATGTGCGCGGGACGGCCCAAGCGGTCTCGGTGGGGGCCTCAATGTAACGCACCTTTTGCAGTATACTAGGTACACAGCTTGCCCTGCGCCGACAAGGCGTCAATGAATTAGTTTATTCTTTTTTAATTTCCTTTTTCTTTTTTTTATAATACACATATATTCAAAGGGTCCTATTACTTCTGGACTTCCGAATGGGCCACGACCGTGAGAATATACGACCCACCTTCCTTTGTTGTGTTTTCATGTTATCTGCCCCATGGATTCTCGTCCAACTAACACAGGCAGCGGCTGCATTGCACTTGTTGGTCCTCCTCACTGATCTTGAGGCTTTGTAGTACCTAGATGCGTATATCGCCCAGCAGTATGTTTACAGTCTACTAACAGACAGACTTATCACACAAAGGGGCCTGCGCAAGTCATCCCAAGGCGGAGCCTGGTGGGTCGTGACGACCTCTGTTATTTGCAGCCGCCGGCCCCCTCGGACGCGGTCGTGGAGGAGGCCGGGACAACGCGGTCAGAATCACCCGCACCCAGCGGCCAAGAGACGGACAAAGCCGTCGTCGGGAGGTCCGATGCTTCATCAAAACATGCTCTACCGTCTACTTTTAGATATACGACCCGTCAACTACCTTGCCTAGCCATAAACTGGCGACTTTTCCGCGTATACCACATGCTAGGCCTACGTGGACTATACGCGCCTCTACAGTGCTGGACAAAGGCCATACTGCTGTTTGAGTGAAGAGGAGGCCCTGTGGATTGGATGGACGACAGACACGCCGCACTCTCTATCACTTCTCTTGCAGCCCTCGGGTTGTCCGACGGCGAGACCAACATAGTTCCTAGCGGCCAGAGGGCCCCACTTACGGCCCACTGGACGGGATGTCGTTGAATCTGCCGACACTGGCCTTCCCGGCCAAATGCAGATTGGTGCTATACCACGTCTTCGTTAACGAGTCACGGCCAGGCACGCCCTGCCCTGCCCAGCCTCCGCAGACCCAGAAGACTAATTAAGCTATGGTGGAGGGCGGTGGGGATAATATACGTATCGGCAGTGACGACTACTATTTCGAGAACCTGCGAGACCGGCTAGAAGACAGTCAACTGCATCCCGCGCACGAAAGAAAGGCTCTCTAAACATATTACCGCCTGGCATTGGGGTTCTCCGTTGTCCCGTCGAGTCACTTCTTCCGGCTCGTCAGATGGGCCTGACCAAACGTCCGGTGAGGCCGTCAGTCGGTTGCTTGCTACGAGGCAGCCTTGTCGAGCGACGGCTCACGCGAAGGAGGGAAGCCCAGTCGTCATGACCCATGCGTTCGCTGATGCCGTTCTTCGTCAATTCCGATGTCACCGGGCCGGCTTGGTCGGACGGGCCAATATGCCTTCCCCCCGCCGCGGATATCCCACGAAGCAGGCTTATCAAAGGGAGAGGAGGTGGAGGTAGTCTAGGTCACTGTGGCATGTTCCATAGTCCAGAGGCTGATGGGAAGCAGTATATATCTACTGTCAAAAGCCGGATCTTTTCCTGGCCAAACGGCAACCAGCTACCACAACAGCCATCTTTCACTCTCTTGTCCTTCCTTTGCCTGACCTTCAACGCCTGCCACTCGCTACCCACACTCGCCCACGTTCCTTTTAGTTTTCTTTGCCAACATGGTCGGACCGCGCCCACTTCTCGTGCTTCTATCTGGCGCCTCTCTATGGGTGTTGTCCAGCCATGGGGCGCCTGCGAACGGGATGCACGTCACCCGAGGCGGGGACATGCCCCCAGCGGAGGTCCGAGTTGCTGGTGGACCTCTTTCCGGGCATCACGCCGCACTCGGGTCTGAGGGTCAAGACGCCAGTGTCCGATATCAGTTAGACAGTGTCTCTCCGGGCTCGGAAGCCGCGGCCGAAGACGGGCTTTGGGAAGGCGACGCACTCTCGAGGAGAGCCACGGGCAGGAAGTCCGGATCCTTCTTCAGCCGTTTCAAGGTATGTTAGGCCCTACTTATGGACTGACTCCAGCTGACCGCCGCCAAGCGACCCTTTAGTAGGCGGCCCTCTACCAGGCGGCCCTCCACCAGGCGACCCTCTGCTGGACGGCCCTTCGCCGGACGGCCTTTTACAAGGGGCCCGTCGTCAACCCAAACGGCCGCCGGGGACTCTCGTTCCGGGGGTCTTCCTGCGAAGCAGCCGATGGCTGACGAGACCGCCCTTGATGAGACCGCGGCCGACGAGACCGCCGTCGATGGGGCTGCCGCCGATGGGACCGCCGCCGATGGGACTGCCGCCGATGGGACTGCTGCCGACGGCTTCTCGGGCGAAGAGGGTTCAGGCGCCGAGGGATCTACCGGCGAGACGACCGCCGATGGGTCTTCTGTAGACGAGGCTCAAGTCCAGAAGCGATCCACCACCAAAGGCTCCACAAAGAAGGTGTCCACCAGCGCGACTACTGCTGATGAGACCACCGCTGATGAGACCACCGCTGATGAGACCACCGCTGACGAGACCTCCACCGGCGCGACCACCGCTGACGAGACCTCCACCGGTGCGACCACCGCTGATGAGACCTCCACCGGCGCGACCACCGCTGATGAGACCTCCACCGGTGCGACCACCGCTGATGAGACCTCCACCGGCGCGACCACCGCTGATGAGACCTCTACCGGCGCGACCACCGCCGACGAGACTACCACCGATGAGACTTCTACTGGCGCGACCACCGCTGATGAGACCTCCACCGGAGCGACTACTGCTGATGAGACCACCGCTGATGAGACCACCGCTGATGAGACCTCCACCGGAGCGACTACTGCTGATGAGACCACCGCTGATGAGACCACCGCTGATGAGACCACCGCTGACGAGACCTCCACCGGCGCGACCACCGCTGACGAGACCTCCACCGGTGCGACCACCGCTGATGAGACCTCCACCGGCGCGACCACCGCTGATGAGACCACGACCGGCGCGACTACTGCCAACGAGACTTCAGCTAACGAGACTTCTACCGGCGGGGCATCTTCCAGAAAGACCTCCGCGAGCAAAACCGGTTCTAAGAAGACCACCTTAAAGAAGACTGCTGCCAAGAAGGCCGCTGCTGATGATACTGCCGCGGAGTCCGTATAGGGCCAACTTAACAAGGCACCGGACGGGAGCGCAGCTCTCGGCACTTGAGCAGCTTGGCTCCCACACATCGGCTTATTGCGATCGGCTTGTAGATATATACCTGTTCTTTAGTAGCGTCCGCGTGGGGGTACTTTTAGACGCGCTCACGAAACGCAACACCGTGGAACGTGCGGCTTCTCATACTTACGCTTTATATTTTGTTTAAAGATTAAGTCATAGCTCTTGCTCGAATAATAAACCTACTGTTGATACATGACATGCAGTCGCCCTGCCCACATAAGCTTCTGCTCTCGCAATCCCCCGCAATACGACTGGATAGGTAGTTTCCGAGCAAGGCAATGCCCTCCGGAATCCGGTTACCATGGCTAATCGCAGCAGCCGTGTTTGCTCCCCGCCCGACCCCTCCTGCGACAAGTCATTACGGTCCGCTCGACAGCGAGCACCTGCCGCGCGTGCCCCATGGCCCGCCGAGCAGGCAATCATTAGACAGGCAGAAGCCTTGGGCTTCCCCGTCATCAGGATCAGCCGTCGACACTGTACGCCTCGTCCGGGGACCGGTAGGCGAGGGGTGAGAACCTGTTATGTGTGTCACAACGAGGTCATTGATGCGAAGTCGCTCGTATACATGCTGTTTCCAAGGGGATTCTACACCACTTAAACCGAGGTTGGCCCTATAGCAGATAGCTAGGTAGTCTTATATCTATAGGCTCAAGCCTGCCATCGCCTAACGACTTTGCTTGGGCGGTTTTCATGATGATTACGCCCGGTTTATAGACGACAACAGATGAGTCCTAATCCCGCCATCTAGTAACCTTGTGGACCGAGCGTTAAAGGACATGTGAATGTCCCCGGCTGGTTCGTCTCGCACTATCGATAGGGGTTCTGTGGGGAACTGTGGATGGACGTCTTCCACCTCTATATCGCTAGCTAGGGACCCGCGGGCGGATGAGACGGTCGACAGTTGACCACGCGAGTAAGTGTTCACGTGCGCAAAGTCGAGAGGCTCTGGTTCAAGATTCTGCTCATACGAGGGGAAGAATGGATGATCCCCCCGACGCGGGTACGTTGTGGATAGGCAGGCTCAACGTAACCCTGCAAGACCCTTGGGCTCTCACCGGACAGTTGGAGTTAGGTGGTCCTGGTTGTGCTTAACCCCACAAGCTGCCCGCTCTGCCCGCCGGCGTCACAGCCGCGACCGATTCGCCGGGCCTGACCCGGCGAAGCACAGCGGACCCTGATCCGTTCGGAGATGGCCGTTGTTTCAAGGACTCCACCAGCTCCCTTACTACCTGCTTTGTTTTTTTTTTTTTTTTTTTTTTTTTTTGGGGGGGGGGGGGGGGGGGGGGGGGGACAGAAAAAAAAAGACTTGTTGCTGGACCTACAGACGCCCGCAGATAGTCGTCCTGCGACGTTGTTTGCGTCGCGACCACGACAAGCGGTACATACCTACCCTGATCTCTGCGATTCTTCATCCCTGCGCGGTACGGGCGGAGGTCGGGTCCAAATCGTGACAGGCCAACCCCAGCCCCACGGGCCTTCCCTTTTGTGGCGGACACTGCTGCGTATCCGCACAATCAGGTCGCTCTGATCCCGGGCGCCTGCGCGACTGGGCACCTGGGCACCTGGACGGACTTGGTGGAGAGACACCCACCCCCTGTCGTCAGTATACCAGCCATGTGTTTCGCTGCCTATCGCGCCGTGACCGTAGGGATGGGTTTAGCATCACGTCGTTTAGTTGAGTTTGGTACTGGTTCGATTGCTGCTGTCCGCGAACACATACGGCTTGTTAGGGTCAGTCAATGCGAGGCTTTGTCCCTCATAACCTCTCTTTACTTAACCATGCTCCCATCTCTCTACCGGCAGTAAACTTGTCAACAGCCGCCACTCAAACGCAGTGTGACTGAGCAACGTCTGCCCACCCAACAAGGTCCAGCGCACCATCCCTACCCACTTATACCTTACCCAAGCAGGCCAGGCTCACAAGGAGACAGACAGCACGCTGCGGGTAGAGACCACTTTTCCATCGTCATCTCATCGTCGCCTCTCCCATTTCGGACGCCTCATGCCGCATTTGTCTCTTACCGCCGAGTCCTCCGCCCCTGAGGGTCGTCCGCCGGCGCCGTACTCGGCAATCCCAGCCTAACGGACCGCAAGGTACGGATACACCGTACATACGTGTCCCGACGCCACCATCTCGGCATGTCACGCCGTCAGATCCCTCCGGCGCTGCGCGCCGCCCACCCCCCCTGCACGCCCGACTCTCTGCTGGAACCGACGACGGGCCGCCGTTTTAGGTCGCAGATCGCCTGCATGGACTTCTCTAACAACGACATCCCACCGGACGCGCAGCCGTCATCACCGCCGGGTGCGGCTGTCAACACAAGACCCCAAGCACCCGCTCCGGGTTTGGTCGGTCTAGCGCCGTCTGATGTGTCGGTCGCCGACCCGATCACGCAACAGGATCAGCCGGCATCCCCCCTTGTCCCGGCCTCAGCTCCGGCCGACCGGAACGACGCCGCGGCAGCCGGCCTCTACCAGTGCCCACACTGCCAGCGACGGTACTCTCGCCCTGCGTATCTCGCACGACACATCCGGACCTACACTTCCAGCAAGCGCTGTGCATGCCCTATATGTTCCAAGGCGTTTGCCAGAACCGATCTGCTGAAGCGCCACGTTGCCAGGCACGCAGGCGGCGGCCAAAACCACGCTAGCAAGCGAAAACACGGCAGCAAGCGAAACCACCACGCGGGACCTTCACCCGGCCCTCGTCGTGTGTCTTACGCTTGCCGGCAATGCGCTGCTGCCCGTGTCAAGTGCGACGAGGTCAAACCGTGCACCCGCTGTTGTAGCCGCAACATCGATTGTGAACCCTCCTCGAGCCGTCATTCTTCCACAGCCGCCATGCACCTGCCCCTCCCCGGGAAGATCGCTAACGCCAGCGGCAGCGAGACGAAACCGTCCATCGGCTGTTCGACGGTACCTTCGCCCCTCCATACCCACAACAACAACTCCTCTTACGCCGCGCATCAGGAGCTTGCCCCACCGCAGCAGCCCGCGTGTCTGCCAACGGCCGCAAGTGGCCTGGAGACTCTACGAGAGCGCGCCGAGGCCGAGAACGGGCGCCCAGCGACGTTAACAACATGGCGCGCGGGATTAGTACCGGATCCCGCGCACGTCATCCACGAGATAAGCGCGTACAGGTGGTTTGCCACCACAAGCCCCATCTCCACCACCACGGGAAGAGGCGTCTATGAGCCGGAAACGGGCTCTGTGACGGGACCAGAGCCAGGAAGTCAGCCTGTGTTGGATTTTTACGCCGGCTCAAGCTTGGGGCTGTACGTGGTGAGCTCCGGGCCATTCGAGCCGTTCGAGCCATTCGCGCCACTCGAGCCACCCGGGCCAATTGAGCCATTCGAGCTATTCAAGCAACCAAGCCTGGGCGGTACGAACACGGCCGACAGCCGACGTTGGCCTTGGCCTGCGGACAACGCCGTCGAGACGATCCAGCACGCAACGGGTAGTCGTCGAGGCCCATGAAAAGGCCCCTACGCAAGGTAGATTCGGAATCGCAAACCTGACTTCCCGCCAGCAAAGAGCCGGTAGCAGCAGCCTGCCGCGGGACGTTATCTATGCGCTATACGCCGCTGCCTACACGGATAGGCGAACAGCTTGTCCCAATTCCGAGAAGGGGTACACCGGACCGTCGGAACTTAGCTCTATAGGGGTTCTTCGAGACGCCCCCCCCCCCGTACTTCTTTTCTTCGTTCACTCACACGACGAGAATTCCGAACACGAATGTGGAAACTTGCCGAAACTGCCGGACCGGGCAAAGCATACACCTTGTGCGCGCCAATCCCCACACATCATTTCAACCCCTTCCTCCCACCCCGGATTTTACTGCTCGGTGCTACGGCTCGGCGCTGTCCTGAAGCTTCGCTCCGGCGGGACAATGGAATCGCGCTAGCAGGGTTACGACGTGAGCCGGACCGATTCGGGCAATGGCGCGAATTGCGTGCAGAATGTCTCCCTCAACGGCTGAGAATTGATATAGGGCGATACTTTGACGATTGATGGGCGCAGTCGGCCCCCCATGTCGTTGGTTTAGAGTTTCGGCTTAGCGGCTCCATACGCCCCACCCTGGGTGCCACTGGGGCGGCGCCCACAGGTCTGATGAAGCACGACAAGCATCCCTGGACGAACAGGCATGGATACGCGAACGGATTGGAAGACCCGCGAAAAGGTCTCGGGACCTCGGTACGATTGGCTCGTGCGCGCTCTTGATTACTGTTAGATCGCCGATGCGTTTTCCCGACGGGGTCTATATGTTTTACTGCCCCTGCCAGCTCCATCCTGCAGGATAATCTGGAAAGGATGTAGGCGTGCGGTTACCTCCTGGATATGAATGTAAATGTGAATGTAGATGTAAACGAAAATGCCAAAGCCTAATTTTATACCGTTCGTCTGTCTTCTGCTGCGTTGCTTTGCTGATCGGGGCGTGGCATCAACCTAATTGGGTCAGCACCAGCTTTGAGGGAAGACAGTTTCATCTGGCCACCTCATCCTGCAAGCCCCATTCCGCGCAGCACGGACAATACTATATACTCCGTACGGAGTACTCCAGACCACTATTCCCCTAATTACATGCTAAAAATGGCTCAGGATTCTGCGGACAGGTCCAGTAGGTAAGGTTTGTAGGTACAGGTAGTACAAGGTAGCCAATCAACTGACATGCCCCACTTTCCGGTGGGCCGACGTCCAGCGGGAGCCACTGGACGTCTCTACTCTAGCTACCTAGCGAGATTACCCGGCACCGATGGAAGTCTGCCAAGATTTTACCTTACACACACAGTAGCCATCCAACCCCCTCCCCCTTGCGGCTGCAGGGAGTGTTCGCTGAACGTATCCGTACGCAGTGTACGCCAAGCTGCAAGGACGGTTTTTTATTTTTTTATTTTTTTCAATTCTTTTTTTTTTATTTTTTTTAAAAAAAAGAAAGAATAGGGAAGTGGGATCAGGACTCCGAGCCACGAAATCGCACCTATAAAGCCAGCGCCCCTCTCTCGGTGAGAGACTTGTCAGTGTCTCGAGAATACGAGAGCTAGGTGGCTCAGCGTACGACGACCGATAGCCCAGTATGAGTGCTGAGAAGAACGTAGACCGTCCGGAAATCCACATCTCTCGGGAGAGTTAGTTGCTGATCCCTAAAGGACGGTGATACCGGGCGCAATGCAATCCAATGTAAGTCTATCGAGCAACAAACTTACTATGTAGGCCGGCCTGCTTGGTAGATCTAATCGTTTTCAACGCCTTAGCGAACGGCTGGGGCCAATGTATGAGATGATGGATGAGACGATGCGAGCGGAAGCGTCTGCACAGCGGTGGTATTCAACGCCGTGGTATCGGCTTTCGGCGAAGCCGGGAAAGATGCCCCCCCCCCCCCTCCTCTCTTCTTCCCAGATTCCAGGCAAATGCTTGTTGACCGCTGTTAGGAGCTCTTGAATGAAGCTGGGGAATTTGAATCCTAACTGCGAAGACACATCAGTTCACTCGCAGCCGCCCTGTGTCCCTCCCTTGCCGCTCACTACGCCGAGTTATCTGTAGACTGTCTTAACAGCGCGTTAGGTAGTCGAGCCATACAATAGGCTTATTGCCCACGAGTAGTATGAATAAATAAGACGTACAATCATCAACAGTCGTCTCACTCCCTCGGAGCGGAGCGAGACGGCTGTCCGAGTTTTGTTCATAACACGTTCAGAACACGCTTCGGAGCGCCCTCCTAACATTGAACCCCTTGGTCTCCTATCTTGACACCGCCCCCTCATCTTTCAAAATTTTGATTTTCTTTCCCCCCTCTTGATCGGCACGGCTATACACTCGCTTTCTATCCTACCGACTCGAACCGCTGCCGCTGCTGCTACTAACGGCAGCTCGTGTGCACTGCAGCCTTGGGCTGGTTTTGCGGCTGGCACCCAACAGCTAGCGCCTGCGGCTAGCTTACCTTGTCAGTCACGATTCTGCGAGATATACCCCCCGCGGACTGAAGGTCGAGAGCCTCCAGAGGCAATTGGATACATTCCCCACCAGCAGCTCCCGGGTGAACGCAAGCCGAGCCGCCTGGTCACCATCTATGAACACCAACATGACACTTTACAGCCACTTCGATATGGAATCCCGGGGCAAGGGCGACCGCGCTTCGCTGGAGCGGGAGCGAGACGCCTGGTTTGCCGCTTTGGAGAGCTACAGACTGCGATTTTGCTTGGAGAGAGAACGCATCAGAGTGGCTTGCAAACGCGCAGAGCAGAGCGTCTGGGTCAATCTCGCTAACCAGGCCTGGTGTATCAGCCAAGAAGCCTTGCCTGTCGATGTTATCGAGATCCTCTGCTCTTATCAGGCCGAGATTCGTCAAAGACGCCTTAAAGATCTACAACTGGATCGTGACCAGTCACTGGATGCTGTGGACAAGCAGGAGAGAGAGGTCCTTCTTCATCACCACCAACGATTTCCGTTATCAACCACGACTGGGCCGTTAATGGATACGGAATCAACCAGAGACAATCCAATCGAGATACAGCGAGGCCCACCGACGGGCCCAACGTGCGATCTCCGAGCGCGGACACGCGCTGGAGACGACGCGCCTCAAGAGGCACTGGCATCCCAGAGCAGAGTGTACCCGTGGAGTCAAGCCCTGGCCTTAAGAGAACCAGCTTTGGTCCCCACGGCGTTAACGACCGCGCACCAAAGCCCCCTTTCTAACAAGCCCCCAAGCCTCCCCCGAACCCCAAGCCAAGGTGCTATGTCGGACTCTAGTTAGAGCCGCTAGTATATAAACGTCCTAACTAGAATGCTCCCTTTTCCGCAGACGTAGCAGCCTCGGCATTCTGCCGGCGGGAGACATCATGTTGACTGCTCGGGGGCAGAGTCAACCTTCCAGACCCGTGTGAGGAAACGAAAACGAGTCCAGAGAAGCTTAGCCGGCCGGCCATGCGGCAGGGGCTAGGACAAGCGCGAGCTGCAAGCTGCTGTCTCCTCCACACGGCAAGCTAAAATGTGCCTGCCTCCTCCAAATCTGACGTTCTTTGCAATGCGGATGCGCGGGGGCCGCTGCCGTTGGTGACGTTTCCACCGCCGGAAGCGGACCTGGGACCAGCAGCACCATCTGTAGAAGTTCGAGGCGTATTGCTACGTACTCACGGTTGTTTCGTGATATTGGAACAGCCCTCCGCAGGCTCGAGGAAACAACCGCTAGCCCAGCTCTCGTCTCAGTGTGGGGGTTGGGGGTTGGGGGTAAGTGTTAGTTCAGGATGTTTGGCGCGGGGTCTGTTACAGCTGCTTTTGCGTTCGCATGGTTCGATCCGGTTTCTTTCCCTTCGTTTTCTCTTTTCTTCTTGTATATTAACGATCGATTAAGAATGTATCCTATCCTATAGATGCAACCATCTAAATAACGGGTCCCTGTATGCGCGCCACGCTTCCTACTAGTTAGTGACTGACGTCTGGTGCAATCAATCTCTCCCCGTTATGCTTGCCTTTTCTTGAACTCAGGTAGATTTCGCTTGTCTCGGTCTCGACCCACCAAGTTTGGTGAGAGCAAGTAAGAATGGCTGTCGTGAACACCGAGTTGTATCAGTAACCCCGAATTTCCTGGTGAGAATTGGAGCTTAGGCAGGAGCTGCCTGAGTGACCGCTGCTCCTCTTCCTTAACCCTCCTCGCTTCTAGTTGTCCTAGGCTTCTGGGTAGCGAGAAATTTCGTTAATGGAGTTAGCTAGGCGTTCCTCGATTTCCCCGTCTCAGACGAGGACATTCGCCACCCACTTGCAGCCACGCTCATGGGTATCCATCCATCCATCGTGGGTTGTGGTAACGAGCCTTCCACAACGTCAAGCCTAATGTTGATGAAGCCTGACGACTGTCTCGCAGGCCTGCTACTACGTCTTCGGTCGGCCTCGGTCCGTGTTTCCACACCCACTGACTGCCCACGGCCATGACCGCCGACTTCAGTTGCATCCCGGTGTTGAGTCCAAACCGTCGCCGACGGCGGCGGAACATCGATATCCACCGAGATCCCTTGGAGCGACAGCGGCAAGTCACAGCTTAGGTCAGCGCGGCTGCGATCGTAGCTTATGGCGCCGCAAAGGTCGACTTCGCTATCAGAGGAACCTAGCCGTGGCGTGTGGCGACGATTCGGGCTATCGCCAGGGCCGATTTCGCGCGGGATAATGGCAAGCTCGGCCTCAGGTTGCTTCGCAATAGAAGCTGTCCTTTTGAAGCTGAAGCCGTGCTGCATCCTGTGTCGGGAGAACCCGCTGACGGGATTCGACAGAGAGGGCATAACCTTCACGACGAGGGGCCGGAGCGTCGGAAGGCACGCGCAGATCAGCCCACTACAGACTTCGCCGATGGACCACCCAGCAGTCTGCACGTTTTCCCACGTGAAGTCTGCGGTCTGATGGAGGTGTTGTATCCGGACAGCCGAAATCACGCACGTGCTATCAACCATGTGAGATTGGTGTCAATGTGACATTTACTGTCGATATAGAGCACGTACAAGAGTCCGAGGCAAAAGATTCCGCCTAAAGCATATCTCTGTCTTGAAGGCAGCTTCAGGCCGCTGATAACCGGTAACGGCAGAACAAAGACTATCAGGTCGGTGGCGATATTCCCTGCGGCGTTGATGTACCACAGAGGGTAGTTCGGGATACAGCTGCCTCGGACGCTCTTATCCCAGAAGGCGTTCGTAGGGATGCAGATCAAGACCTCCACCAGAACTTGTGACATGCTCCAACCCCCGACGAGGATCATCGCACCGAACAGCAACTTCCTCATTCTTTGCACAGCAAATAGTCGCCAGTACTGGAGCAAGAACGTCATTTTGACGCCAGCGAGGGCGGCATTATAGAAGACGACCGCGGTATAGAAGGTCTACTAACTGTTAGTGGACAAGACACGTCAAACCTCGCCAACGAGGGCTGCTATACCCTTAGATACTCTTTGATCTGGTCTTCAGTGAGTAGATACACATGCATACCGAGGCCGTTCCTCAGGTCTAGAAGATCCGCGTCAGCTATGCTCTCACCATCCTGGCTAGAATGTAAGAAACTCACTGATCGCAACTGCGAAGTAGCAAGCGAAGAGGAGAAACTAGGAAACAATATTGGCTTGACGTTGGGTGTGGGTACGAAAATGGGTGTTAAGTGGGTTAACTCACGAAGGTTAGGATAGCAGCGCTATCATCAACACCGAATCTTCGCAGCAAGAACACGCGAGTGTACGTTCGCATGATCACTGCGAAGAGAGCCAATGCGAACGCAAACGATGTGATACCAACCATGACAGCTCGTCGGCTGTCGCTTGACTTGGCGCCGGGACGGCCTTCCATTCTATTCGCTGTTCCCTGGTGCCCTAGCGAGAGATGGCGCTCGTTGAGAGACGAGAGGAAGGGAATGTAAAGAAAACTTCGAGCCGAGCCAGGGTTACCGTAGTGGGACTGAGCTATATAGATCCGTCCGAAGGATAGAGCGATCGCACTCTTAGGTTAGCTCTTCAACACGGAAGGGCGGGAGGAGTGCCGCACAGGTGCCAAGACGAAGGGGGGATTAGGGGAGAAAAGAAAGAAATAAGAAAAGAGAAGGCAAAAAAAAAAAAAAAAAGGGATTGGGTTTGCCTCTCTTGCGGGAGCAAAGTTTACGCTTTGAAGTCATGGTAAGCATAGCGCCTCATACCGAAATGAGGGTCACACTATATCAGGGGGGGGGGGGTTTCAGACTGTAGTTACGCAGTAGACACAGAGAGTATCCCATGGTAGAAGGCGTCGACCGCCGTCTACAGGGACCACCTAGTTCGGTCAGAACTTTATTTCGGGTGACAGACCAGGACCATCTGCTCGCAGTAATTATAGGCTTGGCGAACACTACCGAGGCTGCCGGAGGGGAACCTTGACGTCCTTGGCGAAGCATGCTGCCCGCTGCTGCTGCTGAAATGTTCTCCATCTTCAAGGTGTGTAATAGATATAGGATCCTTAGTAAGACTAGCCATCTCGACATACAATAACAGCCTCTTCTGTGTTTTTTTTCTTTTTTTTTTTTTTCTCCTTTTTTCTCCCTTTGTTTCCATACCTCCCCAGGGATTCAAGATGTTAGCGCGTCACTTCTGCGTCGGTAGAAACGCCTAGTTAGTACTGGGGTATGTTACCTTCACAGAAATCTAGGGGGAGGGCGACATATCGTTTTCTGGACTTTCTCTGGACCTGGGCTCAAAGAATCTCCAGAAAAAGATGTGTTGTATTTTTGCCCCCATAAGGCCCTGTTAAGACCTCTAAAAATGATGAATATTCCTGCTAAAGAAGGCTAGTATAGGATGGCGCTAATATTTGGAAACCCTGAGGAGGTATATGTTCTTTTTCCCTTTGCAAGGAGGTGTTCGTGACCGAGACCGAGCGAAACATGGGTCTTACCCCTGAAGGACCGGCATCGTAGCTCCATGCAATCCTCGGCTATATGGAAGTGATCAAGCCTGTGTCCGGAGTGGGTTTCGTTTGAATTGGTTAGCGCTTGCGACAGACGGGCCCCCTAATATACTCTGTAGTACTATTTCCAACTAGGATTAGGTGTCTCTGCTGTCCGCGCACTAATTAGCGGGGGTTCTAGCGACGGGAGCCGCTGATTGCAGCCTCCTACGGTCCTACCTCGTTCTTTCGGTAGCCCAGCAGCCTAGCAGGGCCCTCTTAGTTACACTGCTAGCTAGCTACTACTAAGGGGTTAAGGCAGTAACAAGAACAAAATCCCCAGCAAATAGACACTCGTGCTATCGCAATAGTATTGAGCGAAGCGTTTGTAGCAGTATCAAGACGTGATTTGATTGGGTAAAGTAACTGGATCTTCCAGTGAGAGCATAAGTGTAGCTGTCAGTATCAACCAAGTACCTATATAGCACGGAGCAGGGAATGGTTGGGTCAGAGACATCATCACGGAAGCCTTTGCTCTGCGCTACAGTTAGCTGCACTGCCGGCTCGCTTGCTCGCATCTGGCTTTTTCTTCTTCCTAAAGTTAGTATGATCTCAGGAGGGGAATACAAGGGTTAGCTACGGGTACTGGATGCTTATATACGAAACTCCTATGGAAGAGTATACTGGGTAATTAGGAAATACACTAGAAGACTGGACGTCACTTTGTGCCCGCTACCGAGCTTCAACGGTCGGCCTACTCTCCAGCAGAAACACACCTACAAACTTACTAGCAGGCTCCCATAGGGCCAGTCCAGCCATCGCTTGACTATGTCGGTCATCAGCCTGCTACATCAGGCGCGCTGTCCTGGTGTCAAAACAACACGTTCTAGTTTATGTAGGGCAACTTCATCACCAATCATAGGCGGAAAATGCACCTCGTAGGACGGCTGCAATAGTTAGGTCTCGAACAGTGAACTCATAATTAAGACGGTGCCGTTATGCAAGCAGCAGGTTATCCTCGACACTTGGCCTTGAGCATTGTATAACACCTCTTTACACGCCGCAGGGGAGGCCGGGGAACCAACTGCAAATCCGGCTTATGAACGAGTTAGCTAGACAGAGAATGTCTAGCATGGGTGTCTGATGACGTGGGTTTCTCAATGCAGTGATACAAGAGCCACTATTAGAAACAGGGAGGGGGGCCGGAGGAGGGGGGAACTAAGTAGAAGAGAGGATGTTGACGTGTGCATCCTGGCGTTTACCGACCTGACCGTGCTCTGGTCAATGATACCTTAACGTTCCATCGTGAATGGATCTGCGCGTAGACTGTTGGCCATCGTACATGTTGCCCTGATGGGGATGATACATCAGGGATACAGCTATTGTTGGATCCGGACTGGCCATAGCATTCAACGCCTGAAACTCATAGTACGCTTGTTGATGGGGATGAGGAGGCCATCCCGACTGCGCTTGTGTTGGCATTGCTCGAGAGGCTGCGGATGTGGTCTGAAGGTGCGGCACGTTAGAGACTTTTAAAAAGGACTCCTCGGCCAGTTCGCCGGACTCTATAACTTGTTGCATAGGTGTCTGGCCGGTCATATGCATCCTGCACGTACTGGCGACGGGTGTGACGAAGTCCTCGCGAAATCTGCTGATGCTGTCGGGATCAGTGCCTAGAAGAAAGGCGTACTGAACGAGCAGCTTAATGTCGCCAATGTGCCGGCATTCTAATCTCTTCCGCAAGATGTTGGACGTCTGAGGGGTCCACTTGAGAGATGTTCTTAATGCTTCGCTCTGTGTCCACTCGTTCCAGGTGAGCTGCACCTGGCTCTGACGGAGCAGATTGCCCATCCTTGTAGAGTACGACCATCCGCCACGACTGGCGCCTTGCTCAAAGTGCTCGGCCACATGACGGACGTATTTTTTGAAGGTCGGGCTGGCGTTGGTGTACTCCGGGGCCTCAAACACTTGCAAGCAGCCGTCAAAGCCGCAGGCAAATACCACCTGCGGGCAGAGTTGACCTTGGCTACGTCTACGGACACAAGAGAATCGCAGTGGACCTGTTTCAAGTGTACCTTGTAGACGCCCTGTGAATCAAACACCATATGACAGCCATAGTGGCGGCAGAACCACTGAGCGTCGTTGTAGTGAAAGTCTTCGATATGTCGTTTGAGGTCGCTCTTCCTTGCGCAGGTCTTGATGATACCTTCCTCCCCGCACAATCCACACACAAAATACCCATTCCGCTTCAATTTCTTTAGATCAGCGGATGACGTCCCCACTGTCGGCGGTTCCGGCAACCCGCTGCTTCACCCGAATACGTCCAGCCCGCCGCGTTGCCGAGGTGCAGGTGGCAACGGAAAGGTCCCCACCTTGATGTGTCTGCTCGTGGGCTTCGAACCGTCCCGAGAGCCCTTTGGCACTGCCACCCCCGGCAGTAGAGGATTGGAGGGGGAGAATAGCGTACTCTTTCGGATCCCATAGGCCAAGTCGGCTGATCCCGTGGATGACATCGCAGTATAAAATACTTGACGCTTCATCGGGAGCTGCGTTGCGTTCAGCCGGCACGTGGAGAAGCAATCGACTCCTGGACCAGGCTCTTTAATGCGTTCATGCCGTATCTATCGACCAGGTGCTTGATCAACTGCCCATCACCTAGTCTCTGCGCAGGCGACACCATCATAGTTTGCCGTGAACTGTTGGCTTCAGGCCAAGTATATGGGGCCATCGTCTTGAGTATGGGTCGTTCTTGCTCCTACGTCGGCAACAGCAGGATGCAGATGCCGTGTGACGAATAAGGTAGCTGCGGGCTTTCGTGAAGGCTATCGGGGACTGAACAAGTGTAACGACGCGGATTCATAAACAGGATAAGACGAAGTGGCTCGGAGGAGTCCGTGAGCAGGTGGAAATATACGATGAGTTTATTAGCGGATGGGTGGTTGGCACCGGACGCCGTATAAGCCATAAAACACAAGAACGCTTTACCAATGTCTGTCAAAAGTGCCAACGAAAAGAGATGAGGAAGTTTGCCCCTAGAGTGTTGCTCGTAGAGAACAAGGAGAGGCGCAGCGACTGGCAAGCCCAAACTGGCCTGGGTTCAACAAGTGATAAAAAGGTTGGACGAATAGCACTATATGACGGATATTAGTGCTTGGTTTCCGGGCCTGTCTTCAATTTGACATGGACCGATGTGGCCCCCCGGCCAGTACCGTCGGAACCGAAACAGCGGTCAAAAGTTCCCTTGCTGTGAAGCGCGCTAGGGGTGGTAGATGGGCAGGGATAAGGATGGTTTAAAGCGAGTGGATCTGGCTTTTTTGCCAGTTGGGCCAGGCCGGCCACCCAGTCTGACAGTGCCCCTCCTAGCCGGTTTTTGTCTTTATTTTTTCTTTTCTTTTTTTTCTTCTTCTTTTCCTTTCGATTAGGTTGGGAGTGCTAATCTTACTGGGGCATTGACCTCTGTTCTAGCCGTAGTGTATCAATTGAGACGAGAACGGCAGCTGGAATGACCACAGAAGCAGCCAGACATTGTGGAATCGAATTGAAATTAGTAGGAAAGTCTCATCCGCACAGTCCAAACCTAGACCCAGCCTTTCGCAGGTGGTGATCCTCTCCCTCTGTTCTTGTTGGTCGCCCACTCATCCCAAGTTAACATGAGTCACAGCCATAGGTATATCTTCCTCCCTCCTCGCGATTGGACTTTCATTCTCTGTATCGGCATGGTATTCGTGGTGGCTATAGTGGTGGTTTTGTGTAGCTAGAGTCCGCCACCTCAAGTTGATGTTGTGACCATGACGCAAAGCCAGCGGATGCGAAGTCCGGAGATCACTCTCGTATCTCTCGTATCCA